TAAACTAATAAAATTATAATTAAACCTAATAAATTTAGTTTATATAAAATCATATATAACAAATGTCTAATTCTCCCAATTAAAACATCAATTCTATTCTGAAAGATACTAAATTAGAAAGAAATTAAGATTTTTAAAAATTTAATTGTTATACACATATAAATAATCAAACACCACCCAATTAATATTAACCGTATCGCATAAATTATTACTAAAAAATAATAAACAATAACTACAAAGAATAATTAACAAAATACTTATAAAATAAAAAAAAAACCCTTAAAAATCAATAATCTAATACTTTTATATAACACTTTTAAATACATTAATATATCTTAAAAACGCTAATTATAATATAATTAATAAGAATCTTACCTAATTAATAATATCCTTAACCTAGATAAATATATTATAAAAAACTTAAAAAAAAATAAAATATAAAAAATATAATAGAAAACAAATTAAAATTATTTATTTAAAATAACCAAAAATATTAAAAACCTATAAATCCCAAAAATAACAAATAAACTATTAAACCAATCTTAAAATCCATTAATTAAAATATTCCCAAAACAACTAATATAATTATTCCAAAACCTAAAAAAAATAATTACAAAAAAATCAAATAGCAAAAAACCAAAATTAAGGTTAATATATTAATAAAAATAAAGGAAGGATATAAGGATTATATAAATATTAAATTTAAAAACATTAAACTAAAAAAATATAAAAAAAAATTATATCGTTACTTAATATAGATAAAGATATAAAAGACATAACCTAACTAATTATTTTACAATTATTAACTAATTAAAAAATACAAGAATTGATAAAATATGTAAGTTAAAGTTTGATTAAAGCATTATATTCATTTATTATTAAATTGCATTAATTATTATCATTTATTTTACTACCTTTCACTACTCAAAAATCTTTAATAATAATAATTCACTATAATACTCCCTTATACACAATAAATTATCCGGCGTAATATCCTTAATAATCGAAAGATTTTTATTACAACTAACCCAAAAACAATAAAAATAAAATTCTTAGAATAAACATTATTTTATTACAAATAAACAATTATTACAATCATTACTAAATTAACCAAAAATTAATTAGCAACCAAAAAACGGTTATATACTAGTATAAATCGAAAATTTAGAAGATTTAAAATACTTCTTATAAATATAACACGGGATTTTATTTGGATAACCATAAACCTAAACGACTAAACTTTTAGCATATTTAAAATTTTACAACTAAACCATAATTTACTTAATTAAGCCATCCTAACAAATATTTACGTATATAAGAAGTAAACTATTCATAACTTAACTTTAAACATAATTGGTATAAGGTGTTAAGGATTTAAGTAATACCTAAAACTAATCATTTGTAACAACTTAATAAATGTATCGATTAGCTGTTATATTACTAAGGAATTAAATGATTAACCATTTAAATAACTATATATCCTAATTATTAATATTATATATTAAGTATTGAATAATAAAATATTTATAATCCAAAATAATAAGAAATATAACTCCTTCATTATATTAATTATTTACCAATACTTCATCGTTTAAGATTTGTTAAATTTTTAATTAAAGTGTTTAGGAATTTTTAAGTAAAAAAAAAACCTAAGAATTAAATTACTGCTACTACCATTACCGATATTATTACCACTACTATTAATTAAATTGGTTATAATATCACGAGTAAAAAAAAAATTACAAAGGAAAAGAGAGGTAATATATTTCGTATATTTCTTATAAGTAACCTTAAAATTAGCATTATTAATAACAGTAAAAAAAGGTATTGTAAAAAGTTATATACAATATATATTAAGAATTAAGTAATAAGGTTTACTTTAAGATGATACGATATTACGATAGAACAAAACAATTTTATTAATCGAATAGAAATTAATTAAACAATATTAAAATGAATTAAGATGGGTTGTAAGAAATTAGGATTTATTTAATATAAAATAAAGAAACGAAGGTTTATAAAAAAGGAAGGAGAAAGTGAAGGAAAGGGCGATTTATACAAATTGTGAATATTATGGTAATTACCTTATATTAAAATTTATAAGTATACATAAGTATATACACTATTTTTTAATAAATCTTTCAATCAATTAAATTTTTTTAATTAATAATAATAAGGTTTTAAGATATAATATAAAAAGATTATTAACTATATTATTTCATAAATATTTTATTTTTTTTTTTATAATATTATTTGATATATTAATGTTTTGATTAAGTTAATATCTATTTTTATATTAATTTATTTTTATTGTATTTTATTATATTACTATTATTAGTTTAATATATTACTGGTAACATTTTCTTTATTTATTTTTTAAAATGTTTAATATTTTTCTTATAAAAGTTAAGATAAATGTTGAGTAGTAAGAAATATATAATTTGATTTATTCGTTTTAATATTTGATTTATATTAGTAAGTTACTTAATTAAAAAAATTATATCAATTCCAACCCTTAATGCATAATTACTATTGATAGGATTATATTTCTAAGTAATAAATTTAATAACTTATTACGTATTTAATTGTTATTATTAAAGATTAATAAAAAAAAATAAAAATAAAATTTATTCCTTAAACTTATCTATATTTTTTAATTATATAAAAAGAAGGAGTAATTATATATTAAATAAGTTATAATTTTATAAAAATTAGTAATATTAAATATCCTTAATTAAATAGTAAATTATAAACTAACAACAATTTAAACATTTAATTATTAAATTATAAGAGGTTTTAATACGGAAATAAAAGAGATTTTAAGGAATTATCTTAAAGTAATAGTTTTTTTAATATTTATTAATTTATTAAACCTAAAAAGAATAAAAGAAGTTGTAGGTAACTTATATTACTATTTTTTTACTATTTATATATTTAAATAAAGATAGATTTACATATTTAATATAATTAAAAATAAAATAAATTAATAAATTAATTATATCGGTAAGTAATTAAAAGTAGCTATAAAAAATTGAAATTAGATTTTTATATCTAAAAAATCAATTTTGTTTAGAATAGTAAATTAAAATAACGGATGGATATATAGATATTAGTATGAGCTTATGTTATACCTAATTATAAAAAAATCAAAAACCTTATTAAATATAATAAAATATGGTATAAATTTATATATTTTATTTAAAAAATATATATAATTTCTTTTTATATATTTAAATATTAAAATAATTAATAAATTAACCAAAAAATTAACATTGCTAATACTTTTATAACCTTTAAAAAATATAAGCTTTATATTTAAACATAAACTATAATAAAAAATATTCGTTACTAGAATTAAACCAAAAATATTAAAAAAACAATAGATCAAAACTCTAAATATATCGAAAATCCTAAAGTAATCAATTAAACCAACTATTAATAATAGCAATACGCCAATTAAAAATTTTTTAAATATAATAGATTTAAATAAGCATTATTTACATAATTTTGGATTATACAAAATTAATTAATATAAATATAAAAAACTTATTCTATATATATAAGCTATTAATATATATAAAACCGCTACTATTTAATTATAATCCAATTTCCCAATAAAATAATCAAATTAAAATAAATTTAAGAAATAATTTAAATAGATTAGGTTAAAATTTAAAAAAGTTATTAATCAAACTAAAAACCGTATTAAACAAATTAAAACTAAAATTAAAAAATAGGCTAAAATTATTAAGTTAAAAAATAAAAACATAAATAACTCCAACAATTAAATCAGCTTATTATCATCAAAAACATATTAATTAGTAATTTACGCATTAAATCGGAATGTTTTTTTATCAAAATTACCTCACTATTACTAATATTATTAATTTTAAAAAATATTAAACTAATATAATATTATATTGCCAAAAATAAAAATATTATTATATAATTTTAAATTATAAATTATATAAAGGTTTAATATTTATTATATTCTTTTAATTAAATAATTATAATTATTACTATTTAATTATACATTTAATATAAATATATTTATTATTTTCTTATATTTACAATTTATAATTCTATTTTACATATTTATTATATATATCCTATCCAATCAATAAATCCTTATAGTTTTTTTAAAGTATAGTGCTATCATCAACTATTTAGGACCTTTCACAAGGATTTAAACGTTAAAGTAATATACCATACTTTACAAGAGATATCAATTCTTGTTTAATGTTATTATATATATAATATCATTTCGAAATGAAATTATTTTAAGTTAAAATTATTTTAAAAGTGTAAAATAATTACGTAATGTTTACGTAAGTAGGGGTGGGTTAAAAAAAAAATTAAAAAAAATCGAAAAAACTAATAGCGGCTAGGTACTTTTATAAGGATTTAAACGCATAACCTTAAGGTTAAGGTTTAAGTGCATACGAATCACCTCGTATCAAATAAGTGGCCAAACCATTTGATTGAGCTAATTAAATAAATGATTATGTAAAAACATTAAATTTTTAGCTATATAACCTTTACTTTCACGTGGGATATCACTTTAGCTTAAGTGGTTTTAAAATGATTATAAATCTTAAAATAATTTTTAACCTCGAAATGATTATATAAAATAAAAATAATATTATATATATAAATATATTATAATAAAAATAAAAAAATTAATAATATAATTTTATATTTAAATATTATTTTATATTTAATATAATAATTATTATTATTTTAAAAAAATAAAATTATTTTATTTTTTAATATTTTTACATAATTATTTTCATTATTGAAATCATTGTTGTAAACATTTTTAAAAACCCCCCCGCGCGTTAAGGTATGTACCTCGAGTGCTAAAGGTACATACAGAATGTACATACATAATGTACTCGGAGATAACACTTGCCGACCATAGATTTAGATATCACGGTAGAGACTTGAAGACCCCTGGTTTTACATATGTAATTGAGTCCTTTGCTGCGATGACAAAGCATGTTTCAATTTCAATTTCAGTTTCAATTTCAATTTCAGTTTCAATTTCAATGTTCCATCCTTCAAAGACGTCAATACTGTAATCCAAAAGAACATTACTATTCTATCATTATCCGTCGACGACGACATACCGTACGGAAACTTGGCGCAACCTTCGCGCCATCATCAGGTGTCCATCATGAAGTTGTCCAACGTGTTAAATCTCCCCGCGCTTCTAGCAGCGTCGCTGTTTGCTCCCTCGATTGTGTCGGCCGAGCATACGAGCAACTGGGCTGTCCTGGTTGGCACGTCGAGGTTTTGGTTCAACTATCGCCATCTCGCCAATGTATTATCCATGTACCGAACCGTAAAGCGTCTAGGCATCCCCGACTCGCAGATCATCCTTATGCTTCCCGACGACATGGCTTGCAACCCGCGCAACGCCTTCCCCGGGACCGTGTATAGTAACGCAGACCGCGCCGTCGATCTATATGGGGACAATATCGAAGTCGATTACCGAGGATACGAGGTCACCGTCGAGAATTTCATCCGCTTATTGACAGACCGTGTTGGGGATGAGATGCCAAGGAGTAAGCGACTGTTGACTGATGACCGGAGCAACATCTTTGTGTATATGACAGGACACGGAGGAAACGAGTTCCTCAAGTTCCAAGATGCCGAAGAGATTGGCGCTTTCGACTTAGCAGATGCGTTTGAACAGATGTGGGAAAAGAGACGGTATTAGGCTCCAAGTCTTATTCTAACGAGGCGTCTAGACTAACATAGCATTGGATAGGTACCACGAGATTCTATTTATGATCGATACGTGCCAAGCGAATACCATGTACAGCAAGCTATACTCTCCTAATATTATCGCTACCGGGTCTTCCGAACTCGACCAGTCCTCGTATTCCCACCACGCCGATAACGACGTCGGAGTCGCTGTTATTGATCGATATACATATTATAACCTCGAGTTTCTAGAATACAACGTCAAGGACTTGAGCAGTAAAAAGACGATCGGCGATCTCTTTGATAGTTACAACTACGAGAAGATTCACTCCAATGCAGGCGTCCGATACGACCTATTCCAAGGTGGCCCGGAAGCTGCGCGGAGTCGGTTATTGACCGACTTCTTTGGAAACATCCAGAACGTCGAAGTGGATGGAGCTAGAGATACTACAGTCGATGACGAGATGCTAGCTCTTAGCAAAACGATTACAAAACTAAGAATCCTCGCGGACGAGGAGGAGGAGGAAGAAAATAAGGCTAAGAAGGCTAATAAGACAAGCGAAAGTAATGCTATAGGATCTAGCATATCCAAGACTCGACAGCCGAAAAAAGTACAAACAGCCAAGCCGCTGACGGACGATAACTGGTACGGCAAGAAGCTTGTCGGCGCAACAGCGTTAGCCATTTGCGCTGCTCTATGGGTTCTAGGGTCATATCTAGAGACTCCGAAGAATTAGCTGTGATTTGAAATGTGTATGCTGTTATTAATAATACAATAAAATACGCTTCTAAACATTTGAATAAGCGGATAACACGGAAATAGGCGTGTAATGATTTGATGGCTATAAAATCTACCAGCTGTATTTTATGTTGTAATGTGATATGACTGTGATACACGACGCGACGCGACGTCCATGAAAAGAATATTCAAATGATGCACCTAAATTATATCCTAGGTTATAATGGATTGTGTATTTGAACGAGTCTACCAGGTTAATTGGTACATAATATACCTAGGTACCTACCTAAGGTTAGGGAATTATGTAAATATGTACCTAAGGTATGAAAGGAAAGAGTTGTCTCTTACATATTAAACTTAAACTTCGTTTCCATCAAATTACGCAAGGCTTTTTTCCTTCTTAGTCTACGTCGCAAGGTCTTCTCATATCAACTTCTCACAACAGTTAGGAATTTAGAAATATCGCCCTCTTTTTTTCACAAATCAGTCAATAATTCTAATTAGCTTAATTGAACTGAATCAAAAATGACCTGAGCCTGAGAATATAACCCTGGTCTAAATCTCTCCGAGATGGCTTCTGAAAGCCAGGCCAAAAATATTCTTCCCCTCGAGTCATTCAGTCTTACAGCCTCTCCCGCAAGTACGCATAACATCGTATGGTCCCCTGATGCCGAACTAGCCATCGGGTGCGATGATTGTGTCTTCCTTTTCGTTCCGGAATACTCCATTCCTAAAGGCACCAACGGCGCGAGCAGCGGAGTAGTTCGACAGTACAATGAGACGGCTCTTAGGTTTCCTACCGTTGAGCATAGAAGCCCCGAGTTAAATCGACCCATATTCAACCTTGTAAAACAGACATTTCCCGACTTTGAGTACACTCCAGGCGGCGGTGGTTCGGGTACCGTGGCGAGTCAAGGCAGTTCCATGAACCACCTCGTCGCGTTGGAATGGTCGCCATGTGGTCTGGGCCGGATGAATCGTTCCGTCCTCGCCGTACTTACCGGTACCGGTGCCATCACCATCTACTGTGAAGGCGCATCAGATAATATGAATGCCTTCAAACTTCGTGGCCGCAATGCTAGGACCTTGAGACCATGGGTCGCCGCTTGGGGCGTAGGGGCAGGCCTGCTCCTACCACTTGCCAAAGGGCATGAAGTAGAGTATACCAAGGAGTATATCACTTCCTTCGCCTGGGCAAGGGATATAGATAGCCACGGGGCGTTGTTAGCATACGCGAATGATGATGACGAAGTTGTCATCATTTCAGTCCAGGCCAAGCACGACTCTAGTGCGCCCCCGGGAGATTGCGGTCGATGGAGAGTCGAAGAAGTCGCAAGGTTCGTAGCCCAAGGGCCTCACCCAAAAACCGATGTACGTGTTCGATCTGTTCCCTAGAAATCCATATCGGACTAACGTTTGTCACAGCCTACCGACCCAGACTATTCACCCTCTGGCTCCTCGTTTTCGCTTAGCTGGGGGCCGTGGCTGAAAAGGGGCAATTCAAAAACAAGTATACTATCATATGTAGCCAAAAACTACGTTGGGTTTAGACAGGTTACTATCCGCTCGCCCCGTGAGAATATGAAGTCGCCAAATGTGGAAGTTGGTAAAGTCGACTCTAACGGGGTTTGCCATTATCTATCTACCGATGCATTTGTGGTATGGGAAGACTTGGTAAGTTATTGATAAGCTATTGCTTCTCGGAGGGGATTCATATTTACTCGACATCAGATATGGACTGTTGGAGAATCGAAGATCTGCCGCGGTATCATCGCTACGCCTTCGAAAGCGAAAGCCTTCCAAATACCATTCGACAGCAACCAACCCAGCTGGATCACTAAGCACACCACGGACGAATGCAAGACCACATATACAGATTCAGAAAGCAAGGGCCTATCACAGAACCCGATTACTGGTTAGTGCAGGTTTATCGGCGCCATTTTTAACCCTCTGGCTTATATATTATAGGACTCATCATTCACCCCCCTTCTCTCTCTCAAACTACTGCTATGCCTTCGTACTCACTTGTCCGGCTCTCGGCTACTCACGAGAATGATGCCTGGTACCAGACTAACCTTCCACTACCCCCGAATCCCGAGGATGGAACTATCGGGCCGCGATGGGCTACTGAGATTAACCAGACTATTGAGCATCAGCTCCCACGGGCTATGGCCTATAAGCCTATCGCCGAGCACGGTAATGTCGGGTCCGAAGACGATTCAGCTGACGAAGAAGAAATGGATGTTGATTCGGCAGAAGGATCCGACTACGACCCCGAAGAAAACTTTGCTGGTTTGGATACCGAGGATCAAGTCCATATCAACCGAGTCCGTATTTGGGGAATTACAGCTAGTCCGGGTGGAGGAGTAGCCGCCGTTTTCACTAGCCAGTATAGTACTGTCTGGCATGGAAGAGATACATACGCAGGAGTAAAGTGCCGGGTCCTTTTCGGCCGATATGACCGTAGCATAGACCGAAACCAAGGAGCGGATGCGGCTCTAGCTATGAAGAACCTCAGCACTGAAGCGAGGATGTGGGAATGGATGTACGGCGGAGGCCCCTCGGTGACGGGAGTCTTCGGCTTAATGTCAAAAAACAGTGAAGAACAGGTTGCGCTGAAGGACCACTTCGCAATGATCAGCCGCAAGCAGACCTGCTCCTTCTGTAGCCTACCCCTGGAGCCGATGGGCAAGGTGTCGCGCTGTGGAAATAAGCACGTCTTTGGTGAGTATCATTGTCTATGAAAACCTAAGCTACCTATATACTCGTCTATGAAAAGTACTAATAGAACTATAGCCACATGCGCGACCACCGGACTACCAATCCTAGCACCCGGTATGTCGCGAACCTGCGGCGTGTGCGGCTCCAAGTGCCTCAAGCGAGATGATCTCGTCAGTATGGCTCCTCAGCTCAGGGAAATTATTATGGATGAGATATCTGCCGAGATGTGTGGTAGTTGTGGTGGGAAATTCATCAACTGATGTATGTGCTGCTATAGTTCCATATATTAGAGATGCCGTTTGGCCCCCTATCCAAAGATGGAACTATACCCTGGCGATTCAACGGCAGCCTAGCTTCAGCAACTCTAATAGTGAGCCTCTAGCTAAATAATAACTTATATTTAAATGATATAGTATTTACCTTTCCGCTGCACTGTGCCTCAGCTGTCCGCCATATGTGGCGAATCCGGTCAGCATGCTCTGAGACTTTCGAGAAGTTATCGGCTAGGCGTAGCTAGCTCATCTCATAAGTCCCAATTATACTTGAAGCTTTATTGAAATTGTCAAGGTTCAGCATGAGGTATGAAAGTTCATCTTATCACTACTCTCTCTATACTCATATCCACACTTTACTAAATAAAGACTTCATCTTACCAATACCCCCTATTCTTAGCGGCGAACGAGATTGAGATTTACAAGGGAATAGAGTATGATAGGTGGCCAATTTGTTGAAAACCGACGAATTTCTCGTATCAAGCAAAGCTCCTAACCTAGAGGTCTTCATAATGTGGTATGATAAATAAAGTCATTTTTGATTCGATCGACCGTACATAGCCACTCAATATGCGAGTGCTTCGAACTATAGGCTATTCTACGTGTCCAAATTAATGAAGTTAGATATTAGAAGCTTAGATAATCATTACCCTTGTTGTTCCCCTGAATATACAGTACTATGTGTTTCTCGGGACTTGAAGATCACGATGTACATAGGTAAGGCTGACGCCAGCCTTGACACCACGGATCAGCCGCAAATGGAGATTTCTCGTCATACATACCGTATAGTTCCGTAAGAGGAATACAGAGTGAGAATATCTTTATTCCATACCCATGGAATACGAAGACGGGCCTGAGAAGTGCGCTCGTATTGCACCTAAGTTGACCGCCGGCATTCACGATGATTAGGAATTCGTGGGAATCATATGGCTGTGTTGCAGCAATCAATCTCTACTTGAGACAGTGTCAATAGAGGTCTAATAGCTATATAGGTAGGTTAGTTTGATGAGCTGCATATAAAGGTCGGTTGTCTTCCACGGATCACTGATATTCACCTACTTGCAACAACACCAACGATATCATCATCATAATTATCATTAGTTTCGTATATCTCGAGGCGCATTTACTACCTAACTAAGTCTTAATAAAATAATCTTTATTTACCCAAAGCAAAAGCAAAATGTACGCTATTATTACCGCCGTTCTCGCTTTCGCTGGCGCTGCCGTCGCCGCCCCGGCTTTGGAGGAGCGTCAAACACACGAGTTTAGCCTTCGTGCCACGGACAAGCTTGCAGGCTGGGCTCTTAAGAACGCTCACGTCGCAGCCGGCGAAAACGTCATCCAGATCCAACGGCCTTCGGTTTACAGCTCGGACCCTTCCTACTTGAACGGAACCAACCTATACTTTGGTAAGTAGAAGTCCCATCTTACATGTTTGCTGGTTAGTTTTCGATCGGCCTAATGTTAGTTATACAGATCTTGGAACTACCCCCCCTTACGGAGTTCGCATGCCCGAAGTGCCGGCCGGCACCGTCGGACAGGTCTACTCTGAGCCCGGAGAGAAAACCCCTGGTTTCGGTGTCGGACCCGACCACCTTCTCACGTTCAACTCTTTCCCCACAGGTAAAGACCCCTTACCACTTACGATATTGCAATGGAAACTAGGGAAACTAATTTCATCCAAGGTTTCTGGGCATGCCCTGTGAACGACGTGTTCGAGCTTTTCTACGGTGTTAACCCCGACCCGGCCAATCTGCCGAGCAAGGACTGCCTCGCAATTCAGTTGGCAGTTGGTGCTATTTAGATGGCAATTGGTGACCTCACAGATTTATCTTGGGCTGTCATTAGTTTATTGTAGATATTATAACTAGTTACTGGAAAAGATAGTTGGAATAAGCTTCTTGTTCGGATACTTCACAATCCACCATATATATAGATATTACGCATAGAAATTCATAAGCCGTTTTAGTTGACTTTTAATCAATGTAGTTTATAGAGGGTGAGAGATATGTGTAGGTACCTCTGCTGGCTCTTACTTATTTAAACTCCCGGATGGGTCCCGAGTGGGTCCCGAATGCCCGAAAATCATACCGATGCTAGCTCAATTTACTATCATGGTGTAGTATTAGTTCCCGGCGTTAGTGTAAAAGATATTCACTATAGCCAATTAGAAAAGGAACCGGCAGAGTATGCATTGAAATATAGCAAGCTTTTACCTTTAATTTTACATCAACAATCATCCGTCATGGAGCATAGCATGGCATCAGTGGTTTAGTGGTAAAATCCATCGTTGCCATCGATGGGCCCCGCGTTCGATTCGCGGCTGATGCAGCATTATCTTTTTGCTTTATTTCTGAAAGCCATGTATGATCTATGGGCGCTGGAAACTAAGTGATAGACTTTTTAAGACGACGAAGGATGGTGCCCCTGAAGTTCATGAGTCTTTTTTATTCTACTAATCGTGTGGGTTGACAGTACCACTATGAAAACAACACAGAATCTTAATTAATCTTGAAATAAGGTATGATGTGATTCGGTTCTGACCGCAATCTATCGGGACCCAGTCACATTATAGAAGATGACCTCTGGGAACTCAGGCGATGGTCCATCTAAGATGGGGGATCTCTTGCCCAGCAAGGTAAAGTCAAAGAAAGCCTTAACATAAGCATTCAAGACCCTGACCTGCTCGAGTCCGTCGATTGGACCTGCATGAGGGTCTGAACCGACCTCGAGTGTTTTCCAGAAAGTATCATCGAAGAAGTCGTGGTGTGTCGTTCCGTTGACATTGATCTTCCGCTGCCAACCTGTCTGCCACTGCGGGAATGTGATCCAAGTATTATCACCCGATCCAACTCCACCATGGCCTTCACTACCTGCTAGGAACGCTGGCTTCCGCACGTCAGCAGCGCTGCTGTTCGATGCTAGGCTCCCGTAAACAGTTCCGTCCATATTTAGTCCAGAAACGATTCGATCATGGCTTTGGAGTGAGCCGAGAGCCGCCGCTCCGCCGAGTGAGTACCCGAAGGCACCAAGTTTGGTTGTGCTAAATGGCAAATTTAACTTTCGTACCAACTCGGGGAGGTGGCGGTCTAAGAACACGGTATTGTCCTCGAGACGCATGTTGTAGATGTCCCCATAATCTATACCAATATTATCAACATCAATCCCCGTAACGCCCGTCCCGTTCGGATATCGGATGAAGGGCTGCTCAAATGGGTGATCTATGCCAATTATAGCATAACCGTACGACGCAAGTTCGGAGAGTATAATTGTATTGCCTTCGACCGGGGGACCGCCACCTCCCGGACCGAATAGAATGGTTGGTAAATGTAACGATCCATCAGCTAAGCTTTCTGGTTCTAGGAAAGATGCGTTCTCCTGCACATTCGAAGTAATCGATGAAAGAGTCCCGTTTGAGTAGTGCCAGTTCAGTTCAAAGAAAGCTGCAGTCTCGGGGTTTAAGTACGGCTTCGGGGGGCCTTCGGGCTTCTGGAGCGTGGGGTAGAAGACGGTCGCCAAGAACGCCGTGCTCACGTTATTCGGCGCCACGGGATCGTGGTCATTGTAGTGTTCGATGGTATATTTGCGGACGCCAACCTGGTAAGGACCGGTAGGGGGCGGGATTGATACTGCTTCGGTAATACCGGATACGGTCAACAATGCAGCAACGATAACCTTGGCATGGTTGACCTTTTGACGACTTACACCTTTCAACTCCATTATTATTCTTTTGAATTAGCTTAGTAGGTATGTACTATCTTAAGAGCTGAGAGTAAACAAAGAGAGGATGCATCATATACATAGTATACCAGTTCGAATATGTTATTATATGTCTCGCCGACGGGAGACCTGTGGCTTGAAGGATTCGCAGATTAGATCTTACGTGCTCTTCGATGCAACTCTAACACCGATAGGACTGAGGCCACCATGACAGCATATTGGCAAGGATAATTGGCGCCACTACAGGTTGGTCCCGTAGTACAACAGAAGGATTACTTCGTATTAATGCTAGTACTACGGCGGGTTCAATTCATTACAATTCGTGCTTATAGAAACCTCAGCAAAAAGCTCCTATTCACAACCAGAAATAAACCGGTTACGAACTTGGGATAATGGAATTGATTGGCAAGGAACTATCGGATCTCTATAATTAACGCATAACGCAAAGATAAACAGAGCTGCGACTATCCGTACCATTGAACAATATGGAGACGGGGCGAAGATGTTTGGCTTTAGATCATCATAGCTGTTAGAATCAACCAGTCCGTGATGATGTGGGCAAGTAGTGTAAACCTGCTATCCTTCTGCGCGGAAAACAATAGCTCTAGTTAGGTCAAGACCATAGTATACGTGTAGACAGTTTCCTCTTTCCGAGCGCCTCAGTGGTACTGAAGCAGGCCTGCGACTCCCTTAGAAACGACATCTGATGCGGGTCGGTTCTTGGAAAGGTTCTCTACATGGCATCGGTAGCATATAGCAGTGAATTTGCCGTCTTCAGACTTGATATGTGCGTAGTGAGAAGAGTTTCCATCTGCGAAAGGATCCTTGTTGCACTGGGTACAGGCATCTGGTTTGAACGTTCTTAATCCCGGGGATTTCTCAACGAGATCAGTGACATCCTATGGTGTCTGGAGTTAGTTACCATTATTCTCAACTAGGATAAGGAATAAAGAAGTGCGTCCCAGAAAGTATCTTGCTTACCTTTTGGAATCCCGGGATTGTGGCCATGGTTGTCTGGAAGCCGGGGACATCCAAAACCCAGAGTTGGCTGTCCTTGACGAAATCAAGGAATATGTTCCTTAGAACGATGTGGCCTTTTTTGTACGCGAAGCTTACGCCAGTACAGACGCAATTTACATCCAACATAGGCAACTGTCCGCTGCACTTCATTCGTTGCATCGAGGTAACCATGTTTCGAAGATAGTTCTTTAGCTTCTCCTGACAAGCAGCCATCAAATCAAAGATCCTCAGTCGGTTTGCCATATCCCATATGTTGAGACTGGTAAGGAAAGCGTCGGCAATGCCTTTGAATGGTTCGTGAAGATCTAGGGCTGAGAATAATACTAATGTCAGCGCCACATTGATACTACCAAGTCCGTGTAAGGGTTTCTCGTACTCTTCGTATAGATCCAGACGATGACCTTGTAGGCTACAAGCGGATGTGCCGAGACAACCACCTCATTACTTCCGTGGGATCGAGCTTCCTGTAAATTGAAGGAAATGTTAAAAACCAGTACTTCATATTTTTGACATCTATTAGGTTAGAAGCACCTAAGGCTTCACATGTCTAAATATAGAGCGTATTATATGGAGACTTACTGAAAACTGTCGTTCAAACCACGCACATCGGGTGGCTATAACGTTCAAGTGAACATTCCAGCGGCAGGTACCACACAAGACTACTGCATCTGAATATTGTCCAAGCTGCAGCATTCTAAGAAAGTCAGGTTAGCAATAGGTGGGTTCATATTATACACATTCCTAAAGGGGCTTCTATATGCTTACTGGTGGTTCTCGAAGCTAGCCGATGTTAGAGGGATACTGGGAACAACGACTAAGGGCCAAAGCTTCGACATGATGAGGTGCTGAGCGCGTAAAATATCAAGAGAGTTGTTGGATAAAGATAAAAGAGTGGCTTGCCAAAGGTTATGACTTGGCCTTGGAAAGATCGTGACAACTATATGTGCAATATTTTGTTGTTCTGGTTTGTGTTGATGCAAGATGGGAAGCTTGGTTGAGGATATGGAGGCTGAATAAATAGAGGCAGGGAAAATAGTTTGCTGCGTCTGTTGTTTCCCCGTAAGTAAACAAACCTACTTTCCATCCACCTCAAGAAGTGGGATTTTAATCAAGAGCATCCAAGGCACCAGCACAAACTGAAGTTTCCCCTAGACTGTACTTGCAGGTACGAGTCAGGAGGAGGTTGCTAGGGAAGGTTGCGAGGTTCTGCTCAGCCAATAATGCGGATCCAAGTAATAGGGGTCTTATAGAAGTCTTCAGGTATGACCCCTGAGTGCCAATCACGCGAGGGGTATTCAGATAGGTACCCCTACCTTCCCCGATCTACAGCAGTGAATCATAAGTTTCTGGTAGGATGTGGTAGTCGAGGAAACAGCTGGGGAGATAACTACACCACGAGCGTTACCTAACCACGTAGAATATCAAGAATGAAATGAAAATTCGTTCTGTAGAAGTTTTCTCCTAAGGCTGGTAGGTGCTCTCGACTAAAAGTCATCTACTTTGTGACTTGCCCTGTGACTAGAAGCTCACATTATACATGCTGTTCCTTCTTAAATGATAATAGATGCAGTCAGGTACTAGTTAGAGGCTACTCCTATTTTTACATAATGTGATGTCCTTGTGTCCTTTGAGAAGCATGTGACGTCTACGGAGTATCTTGTTATTTGACCCTTTATTCCCATTTATGAAGCATAGAACCCCTAGGTAGATGATCTTAGAACGTACACTAGGCGTTAACGAATTCATCATTACGAAGTGGAGATATTAACTGGGTTCGCTACCCAGGCCTTCTAACATTTCATAAGAGTGAAACGGTAAACTAGGAAAGCAAGAAAGTTTCACGGTAATACAAACCACGAATAACCATATATGTCCCATCGTCTTCCTTAGACATCTACCCTCAACGAGATGGTTACTATCTATTGGGTAGGGACATATTATCGAATAGAATAGCTTCATAACTGCCCTTTAATAGTGTATGTCGTATCACTGTAAAATTTGAATAGATACCAAACGTAATTTTAGTATTCTATCTTTGATCTATTAGTTCATTGACAGAATAGGGTCAGTCTTACTTCGCATTGATGTAGGAGGCGGTGATAGTTAGACAGTATAACGATATAGATAAAATATTGTGACGGAGAACTTAAAAGACTTGGATCTCAGTCAACTAACAGGGTTATCTTGTTACTCACGAATGAAAATAAGAGCAATTATGGATATGGATATGGATTGGTACACTTGAAAATAAGTCAACTTTACAAAGGAGGCAGTTAGTTTAAGTCAAAGAGTATTGGTCCCTTATTCCTTTTCGATTGGATACTTAATATCACAGGTAAAATATTACGTACCTAGGTAACTAGGTAAATGGTGAGAGAAAGTTTCATATTGCACATAGGTATCGCATATATTAAATGATATTCTACTGTGGAAGGAGTTCGATAGTTGAAGCAGCTGCAAATGCTACCATGATAAAGTAGAATGCTATGACAAGTAAGTGATTTTTCTAAAGCACAATCTTAAAAGGTAGGCCAATAGGGGCTAAACACAAGCCACGTTAAGGACTAGGTACCAAGTGCAATAGACAAATGGCGGTGTTGCAACACAAAGAGCTGCTTGATCTATCCGTAGAAGATCACAAGCTTCCTGGCCTTCTTTGTCTGGTTTGTTTCAGGTACCCCTGGAGTAGACTTCTTGTCACAATTGCTTTTCAATGTATATCCGGTAGTTAGATACCTACCTAGGTACGATAACTCTGATGTCAAAATAGGGGTACCCTAGTACCAATACGCAAATATACAACATAATTTTCAATTAGAATAGCCTCCTATTGCTTTGAAGGGTGTCGGTGTAGACTCATCTATGCCCCAAAGCATATTGTGTAACTCCCTATGTGGTATAACTATTCCAGCCAGCTTGGCTTTTGACTCCGCCTTGACGCAATGGGAATAATATATGTCATTTTGTTCAGGCATACATTTACACCGACTGATAGAACAACCAGTAAGGATAGCCTATCCGCGCCAAGGTGACAACGATTGTGCTGGTATTACTTGCTGATGGGTGCTTTTATCAAAGTCCATATGACCAACAGACAATACAACTCCTCTTCAACGACGTCATAAATTATAATACTTCTTATCTTAGAAGCTCATTCAGACAGTATTTCAGCTGGAGGTCTTTCTCATACCCCCGACTTCATAATATATATAAGGACTTTAGAATCTCCGGTGTCTATCAATCCGAGCATCAAGTTAGTTTTCGATTGTGCCAGGTCTATCTACCTTATAATAGCCCTAGCCCTAACATGATGACATCGACTACGAGTTACTATCCAATCGTTGGAATCCAGGAGGGATTGTCCCCTAGGAAAGATGACCTCCTCAGGCAAGTGCCGCTCCGTATGGAGCTAGATGACTGGTTCACGTCTGGAGAACTGGTACATATCAACCAGCGCGCATTATTCTTTCCTGCGCTATGGAAGTTCTCCCAGATGAACCCGCATGAGAAATTGTCCTGGTTTCAAATTGCCGGTGAGTCTAGATCTGATAATCCTATCCGGGGTATTTGAAACTAAGTAATAGGAATCCATGGAAAACCATTTGTTTCTTGGGACGAGCCCGGAGCACATCCAACAGTTAAAGAAAAGGGATATTGTACTCACAATAGTATTCTATTTTGCACCTGGCACCGGTCCTACGTGCTTCTCTTCGAAGTAGGTCATTTTACCTAGGTATGTACTTGTACGTCTACTAATCTTTTCGTAGCAAGTAGTCTTCGAACTTATGAAAGAGGTGGTCAACGAGTACCCGGAAGTAGATAGACCTGACCTCTTGCAAGCAGCGAGAACTTGGCGCCTTCCATACTGGGACTGGGCGTTGAAGAAGCCTATTGACGGCAATCCAAATAAGCGGAATTATACTGTACCGTTGGCTGTGCTAGTTGAGGAGGTAGATATCAGACAGCCTACAGCTCAAGGTCACGGTCTTTATCGGAATGCACTCTATCAGTTCACGATGCCAGGGCGTATTACTATGGGCGATTCAAGCCTTAAGTATAGAGACAAGGACTTGAGGATCACAGCGAGCACAATTTCGGATCCCGATACGGGCATTATGTGCACTTTCCCCGTAAGCACATCGCAAGTCTTTTTTTAGTGATATAGGGGCTAAGTCATTTTATCTAGTTTGACCAATGCCAGGCTACGAGCCGGCACCCTAAAGGAACGGGCGTCAACCAGGATTGGGTTGCTGGAAAGCAGAACAATGAAGCCATTGCCAATGCCATGAGAGATTATAAATGGGATCCCGAAGCGAATACGGAAAACGCAAAGCTGGGGAATATGACAGCAGGTCTTAGGGCGGCTTTCTATCGTGTTCTTACTATTGAGACGTTTGAGGATTTCGCAACTAAACGGGCTCCTAACCACGGCGCAGACAACCCGGTGAAAAAAGACTATGCCTTTGACTCCTGTGAGAGCATTCATGACAATATGCACAATTGGTGTGGCGGCGACCGGACAGAGCCGGACGATAAAAACATCTGTTTGATAGGCCACATGGCTCACGTCCCACTTGCTGCATTCGATCCAATATTTTGGCTTCACCATTGGTAAGTGATGGATTCGTGTTGTCTTCTAGTCTAAATTTAACACTCTCTAGTAACGTGGATAGAATGACGGCGATCTGGCAAACGCTGCACGAAGACCCCTGGTTCGACGGCTCTGACGCGCGTGACGAAGACCTTGGGACATATTCTATCGAGTTTGGGCACCGGGACAAGCCCACTGATCCACTTCGGCCTTTTCACAAGGAGAATGGACAATACTGGACTTCTTCTGACGTTAGAGAGGTGACGGCACTAGGCTATACTTACCCAGGTTTAGAGAAGTGGTCGTACACCACTAATGGCGTCTATGATAAGCAGAAACACCTCGACGCGCTCATCAAAACGCTTAACGAGAATTATAACAGTGACTGGTCAGCTTTGCAGAAAGCAAGGCTAACATCTGGCCCAGGTCAGCCTAACCTTCCCAAGCTAGCAAGGCTGCGTACGCTCAGCGACAAGCCTGTTGACTTGAAGACTTATGACTACGTCGTCAATGTTATTTATGAGAAGTATGGTGATCCTCTACTATGTATAGGTTAGGTAGGCAACACTAAACTAACATCACTACCTAGGTTTGCTCTGAATGGCAACAAGTTCATAATTCACATATTTGTCGGCAAAGTGCCCGATGAGGTCCCTTATAAGACTCGAACCACCCAGGTTGGCCAAGTAGCAAACTTTTCGACTGAGCCAGGAAGTCGTGAGTACCTACCCTTCGATGACCGGGGCAAATACCCCATCTAATATGAGGTCACGGAAGAGATTATACGCGAAGAATAATTGCTGACTTAAGTCTTCACCTACTAGTGGGTAACTCAGATGAGGGATGTGGGAATTGCCAGAACCAGCAAGCGGACCATACTGAGTCTACGGGACGTGTTGTGTTAACCAACGCTCTTATCACGCGGTGGAAGAACCAAATTGCGCACGAAACCAGCGACGGCAGCCAATCAGTGTTAAAGAGCATGAATCCAGAAGATGTCGTCTCGTTCCTCAGATCCAACCTTCACTGGCGTGCAACATCAATGGGCGTGCTGGTAGATCTACCGTCCTTGAAGGTCTCTCTGGCTGTTGGTGAAGCCGAGCACTTTGCCGACCGCTCCAAGATGTCCAAGTATCACAACTACAAAGCTGTGTATGAAGTTACGAATGGTCGTCCCGGTGGTGCAGGGCCGAGAGATCGGTTGTACCCGTCAGATTGTCAGTATACGATTCCGTCAGGGGTATAAGAACTAGGAACAAGGAGAGTTTGAGCTTTAAGCTTAGGATCATCATCCTGATTAAATATATGTCACTCATTACACATAACTAAGCTTAACATGGAAGTGTGTTGAAATATTGGTTGAGGGTCACAAGAAATCTAAAATAAACATGATTATTGTTATGCTCTGTGCTCTCGAGTTGTTATCCCATATTCTATCTAACACTCCTGCTGTTGATTATATTCAAATACCCCATTTAAAAACGACAGGACATTCCGTCTCCTTTTAGTAAATCGGAAGGAATGGTATATACTAACTTCTAGCTCCAAAATAGTTTATATGAACCAAGACTTCCAAGACCGCTTCAATCTCGAGCTTTAGGCTATTATAGCAAAACTCACCACCGCGTCACGAGGGTATCAGTAGTCTTTGCCCAATCAGTGAGAGCGACCCCGCACACCCTGGTTTGATCGTAACATAACGAACAACTACTACTCATTGGTATGGCATCATGTGTTAGGTAGTCTTTATTTAGATTTCACAGTCATACTTACGGAAGAGTTTCAAGAGGGTTGAATTTGGAGTTTCTCACCATAGGACGACTCGACGAATATCGCAAACCGTTCTGCAGGATTAAGGAGCTAGGGACTAGCAGATATTCAGGATACCCGTACATATATAGTACAGGAGGAAAAAAGAGGATATGGCCGCCGCTGTCGCGACAATACACGCGCCTCTCGCGTTCCAGGGGCCCACAGAGGAACGCACACAGACGACGCAAATACCAAGGCGTCGCGATGTATTAACTAACATCAACTATTACAAAGACCCGGGCGACGGTTCGCTACCAACGCCTATCGTGATCGCCGAGTAAGTGCTGTACGCTGTACTTTGCACTTCGTATCTACTTCTATCTATTATGCGGAATACTAACCAGCTCCAAAGCAACACGGTAAAAAACGAGCGCCCGCACATCCCCCAGCAGACCATCGTCCACGACGTGACAGGCGAAGAGGACAAGTACACCCTCGACAGCCACGGATTCCAATTCCTCCGGCACGAGAGCAAGACCAGGTCCCTACAAGACTTCCAAGACGAAGAGCACGTCAAGGGCAAATACTACCCGGAGTCGATACAGCTGCTGAAACAAGTGTAAGTCCTCTCCCTATCAACCAACCGAGTAGGTATAGGTTATCTAGGTAGGTAGGTGCCTGTTATAAACTTCAACAAAGCTAATTCGTACCTATATATAATAAGAACCGGCGCATCCCGCATCTTCCTCTTTGACCACAAGACGCGCTGCGGACCATCGAACTGGCACAAGTTAGGCAAGGGGAATCGATCTTCGCGCGGGCCCTTGTTCAGAGCACACGTGGACCAGTCGTACGCCGGCGCGGAATTAGTCCTACGGCGCTGGTTCCCAGACGAGACGGACGAGCTAGTTAAACAGCGGTATCAGATTATAAACGTATGCCCCCTTTCTCTTTCCCTTTCCCTTCCCCTTCCCCTTTTTTCTCCATACATCCTATCCTCTCCTCCATACCCCCCTTTCTCCCTCACCAACAAAACAACAGTACAAGCAGAAACCTTAACCACCCCCCTCCCAAAAACAGATATGGCGCCCCATCCGCCCCGTCCTCAAAGACCCCCTAGGCGTAGCCGACGGGTCCTCGATCCCCGACGCCGACTTAGTCGCCGCATCGATAATCTACCCCGCGGACCGGGACGAAACCTGGACGATCCTGCCGCGCGCCACGCACCGGTGGTACTACAAGCACGCGCAGCAGCCCGACGAGGTGCTCCTTATAAAATGCTTCGACTCGGAGACGGGGGTGCCGGCGCGACGCGCGCCGCATAGCGCGTTCGAGGATGCGGAGTACAAGGATGGGGAGGCGCGGGAGAGTATTGAGGCTAGGGCGTTGGTTTTTTATGATTAATTATGGTGATTAGTTTGATTATACGTATGGTTGAGACTGTAGCTATTACATCGAAATACTAGAGGGAAGTCCTGTATAACAAGAGACAACATATATATACCTAGGTAGGTAGGTATGTATTCGAGCAACCTTTTTCTCAAACACCCCTGAAAAGGGAAACATCAATTTGGTATCATATTCCTAACAGTAGCCCCCTAAACTAAGCAAAAGCGTTATTTGACAGCATATACCTCATCTTATCTCATCTTACTCAATCATTTACTCCCCATTCCATGCCTTGGAAGGGCTAGGTAAGGGGCTCGTCTGCACGCGCGGCCTGCTCCGGAACACAGCCTCGTAATCCTCCTGGCCCCCGTCGAGGAGCTCCTCGATAATTGACGTGTCGTTAAAATTCTCTTCCTGAAGCTTTGGGAACTGATCGCCCTTCCTCTGTATCATCTTGCTCTTCCTCTCCGATCGCCTCCTCTCTAGTTGGGCCTTTTGTCGCGCGGCTTCGAAGCCAACCATGGATCGTCTAGTACGGGCTACTAGATCCTCGTATTCATCCTTCTCCGGCAGGTGATTTGTATTATTATCACTACTGTTCTGCGTGTGCGTAGATTTTGTAGGGGACGGCTGAGATACTTCATCCTCCTTTTCAAAAGATTGAGTTCGTGTCATAGACAAGCGAGTTCTCTCAGCTAGAGAAAGGGTGTGACGCTGTTTCTTCATCGGAGATGGGGATGCATTTGACATGGACTGCAATATTTCGTCGGCCATGGCCTGCGTTGGAGAAACCGGGGCCGGTGGAGACAAGGATTCTACCATCTTATCGGTAGGGGATGGTTCGGGGGATACCTCAGGGGAAGCAGCACTATACGATGTGATGATTTGAGGTATAGTATCCAACTTCCTTAATTCTTGCCTCTTGGGCGTACTAGTCGTCGGGACTTGAAGGTGCGAAGATGACGTCTGTTCCAACGGCTCAGGCTCAAAGTTGGGTGAAAGATCTGGGAAGAATTTCTTGTTTCGGCTGAATGGCACGTCAATCGAGGGCGCCTTTGGCACATGTGCCTGCCCCTGAGCTTCAGTGCTAGCCTTGGGAGGAACAAGACGATAACGGCGCCCGCCGGTGGGCTGTACAGGCTTTTCAATTGGTCGTACTTCTTCAGCCTCATCTTCCCATTCGCTAATATCAGAAATCGCATCGGCTCTTTCCTCTGGCTTTGTAGTGTATGAAGCATCGATTACCGAGCTTCTATTCGAACCTCCTAGTAGACTAGAAAAATCCGGAATCTTGGGTTTTCCAATAGAACCAAGTTCAGCTTTCATGTTACTGACTATCGTGCGGTATTGTGCAGGTGCTGCGTTTAGGGGCAGCTTGTCTTTCACGCGCACCTGGTCGGTGTTCAGCTTCTGATGAGCCGTGAAGCGTAAACCAACATTCTTTGGCTTAGTCGTTCTCTTCGCTTCCACGGTAGGCGGTGGTGGCATATTTCCAAACATTTTCATCCTGAAATCGTCCCATTTCTCCAACCTTTCTCTCTGCATCTGGACCCTGTTGTCTAACTGCTCCAAGAGGCCAGTATTCTGGTCTTCAAGGTCGGAGACATTCCCCTGTTCAACACCAACCCAGATATCATCGAAACGGCTACCAAGGAGTCCGCCCTTTCGTGGATTCGTGTCGTTAAATAGGAGACTATCAAGCCATTGATCATTTCCAGTCCAATTGGTCTTGATAATTCTATTAACTTCTGTTCTTGTCCTTTCAGATGTCTCAGCTACGCTTCGTTCTGATTCTGCTTTGGCCTTTTCCTTTCGCCGGGCAATGCTATGTTCCTTTGACGCTAGCAGTTCTTCAAAGTCGCGGTACTTTACTCGTTCCGTGTTCTTCTTAGCTAATATAGAACCCAAGGACGCTTTGTGGGCGAGTAAGAGTCCGTTAAGCTCAGTACGGTCTCCCGAGTAACCCCAGTTCTCGAGCGCAATTTTCTCCGATATAGTAGGACGGTATTCCGGACCTGAATTGAGCGCACGTTCGGCAACCAGCTTCTTTAGGACCGCCGAGGAAAAGACGGCCAGAACTTCTTCAAGTCGCTCGCCCTTGCATTCGTCTAACATAGTCTTTCGCAGAACAGCATCTCGACCTAGGACGCCATTCTTCTTAGCCTGTTCGAGGCCGCGGAGGAGAGCGGCTCGGAGGTTGATAGACTGGACCTGGTCAAGAGGTGGAAAGAACGGACGCAATTTCTAGAGAATTAGAATCCTTCGTACATGTTGGGATATAGTAGGCATACATTTTGAGTCTCGTTGTAATCCCATAGCATAAATAGCTGATACAGAGCCCATTCGACAGATTGAATCCGCTTCTTCTGTCCGCCAACGGCGTCTTTGGTTGAAAAGGTCGCGAGGGTTATATCTGGCCAGTCGGGCTCAAGATCGAGGTCTAGCAGGCGGAGGTTTGTAAGGAACAGAGCAAGATTAGAAGTAGAGCTGGGTATCTGAGTCGTGGTGGCAGTAGAGGTAGGCTGAGGGGCGGTCAAGGACGCTTTAGCGGGAACGCGCAGCGATCGCGAGCGTGCCACTGATGGGTTGGTCGATGGGTTGGCGTATTGAACCGACATGGCGGCATTGTTGATGGTTGATGGTGTTTTATGTTTTATGTTTTATATGAAAGGGCTGTTCTACGAGGCCATACGTAAAGGTGTGATTTATGAGTAGAGCTGTGTAGCTCCCAAAGTGGAATTTCCGTAGGTGGAATTTCTGGTTGAAATGGGTTCTGGGTTCTGGGTTCTGGGTTCTGGGTTCTGGGTTCTGGGTTCTGGGTTCTGGGATAAGTGGAGTTGCTTAATGTTGATTTCTGGACTTGATGCGCTCTAGTCTTACTATCGATCTTATCGATAAGGAGTAGAGCTACCAAATGGTCTTTTTTTAGGCAATGGATTCCGCGGTAACACCCGAAAAGCCAATGGCGAGGTACTATTAAAGAACGACTAACTAACACTAACAACTTATACACTTACAACACATTGTTCACGGCGAATGAAGGATGACTTTAATACATCTAATTATACGAAAACAATACGAAGAAATGTATTCACGTATACCCCAACTCCGATGCCTTCAATATTTACTCAGATCTTAATTTGAATTATCAATTCATATTGTATTCCGTATGCCCTTAAGCCTAATTCCCGAGAGTAATAACTAGGATCCACCAACTACCAAACGTTCCAACTTGAAAGCAAGCCTTCCCCGTGTCCTTTCAGCGTGGCTCTCCATCGACGGCATATCTCAAGTAGGGAATGTTATATCGTAAGTGTGATAACTTAGACAGCACATCGCATCGCATCGCATCGTGACTCCTCCCCCTTCTCCATTCCACTTCAATTCCCAATTACCCCTCCTCCTCATTCCCACAGCCACGCGAGCACTGGTCTGCGCTCACGCACTTGCATGCTCCGCATGTGCCGGCCAAGATGATTGTCAGGTCGCCCGAGACGGGGTCGCAGTGGGCGCCGCTGTTGCTTGCCGAGCATAGTGCCGTAGTGCCGGGAGACCCGCAGTCAAGCCGCCACGAGGCCGGCGCCGCATCTGCCGGGGTAGGGGCTGCGAGGACAGCCGTAACTTGGAGCACAAGGAGTGCGATGGTTGCTGATATGGTCTTCGCGAGGAGAGGCATGTTAGCTGATTTTTATGACTAGGAGTAGATTTGGGTGTATTTTTCTTGGCTCGTTTGGTTTTGCAAGGTACCTAGGTGAGTAGGGACAAGGTTGAGTCTTTTTTATAAAGGAACAATTTACCTTCATCTTGCTGCTTGGAAAGTGTAGCACCAATATTTGCGTATAAGTCTAAGCCTTGTTTGCTGTCTACCACGCAAGGGTAAGTCTATCTATAGCACAGAAACAACAATGACGACAAACGTGAGGAAAGGGCTAGTTACTGCAACAAACTCTCTATATTTCTGGTCTCGACGATCGGCCACGCCCTTGACTTATCTAGTAGAGGGTTACGGGGCCCAGCATCCGCACCATGGCACCTTACCATTGAAAGCATTCACCACAACATGGGCTTTATTTATAATTTCCAGCCAGAACCATACCCGCGAGCCTGGTCTCCAACTTCCCGATTCCTGGGCCGATTGTCTCCTTGGCGGTTTACGTCCCAATCCTCTCGACCTTGCTGTGCAAAAGAAAAAGAAAAAAAGAACCCCCCGGATGCAACCCATCCGCAGGAATATGGGGTGTACCGAGTGGTTGGCTAAGTTGGGCTTTTATTGAGGAAGGCTTTGACCTGTTAACTATTATCCGGCAGGCTACTAATAAGTGACATGTGATGGAGTCGTTTACCACGAGCCACAGCCATCTAACCTGAAAGCATGTTTGACAATTCCAAGCTCGCGGGTTCGGTTATGGCTGGTCAAGATTGTAAGCTTACCTTGTTTATATGAAGACACTATCAGTATTAGTGATCTATATACTTTAAACAGTCAGATGGAATATAAAGCTATAGCTAAACCCTACCGACAAACAACAAACACCAAATAACATACCTAAAAATATGCACATTGTCCATATCAATTATCCGGGACGTGGTAGGCCGGTAATCTAGAAAGGCGGACTCATTTATCCATATTGCTATGTACGACCGACAAGGGTACCCAACGCCCGCGAGACCCCATTCGGACAGCGTGAACGTGAACACATATACCTTTCATACCTATCTAGCCCTAACCTCCTACAACCCGTTTTCCCGTGACGCCTTGGCGATCGGGACTCGGCATCAAGCCGCTGTCCCAGCCGTCCATGCTAATAGGTGACCTCAATATCTAGGTTGTCCCAACCGTCGATCTTTTAATCTAAATAGACATGGAAAACATGCGGCTCCTCGAGTTATCAATATCATACAAGCAATTTTGACAGTGTTGAACAAAATTGCAAGAGCGTACAAACTAGTCCTCTCAGCTTCCAGTAGTCCATATTGGAAATTGCACGACTAGAATAGCATCGAGTATGAATCATATGATCCCAAACATGCATCTGCTTGAGCCATATTCAATAAAGTGACCCGAGAGAAGTAAGTGTTGAATGTAAGTAGATAATCGACTGAACAGATAGCCTCTGCCCATCTACTCGTACTTGACCCCTTCCGTAACCGAAATGAAGCTAAGGGGACAACTATGACAGCCTCTGACACCAACAGAGTTCACTCATGCTAGAGTATATAGGATGAGATTAGCGAAGACCGAATAGGCCCCTCAATTCCGAAAGGCTCAACCGGCCAACACCTCGGGCGCCCTCCTCGCTAAGGGCCGCATTGACTAGCCTACGTTTCTTCTCCTGTAGCTCGCGGATGCGATCTTCGACCGTCCCATCGATCAAGACACGGTGGACAGTGACCTCCTTTTTTTGGCCGATACGATGAGCACGGTCAACGGCCTGCTCCTCAACAAATGGATTCCAGAAGGGTTCGAGTATGATGACCTGGGTTGCTGCCGTGAGGTTCAGCCCTGCATTGCCAGCCGACAAGCTGACCAGCATGATCTGCACCTCAGGGTCGTTCATAAACTTCTTCGCGGCGGCATCTCGGTCGTCATGATGCATTGTTCCGTCATAGCGCGTATAATTGAAGCCTTGGTCGTGCATGGGAATCTCAAGCAAGTCAAGGAAGGATGTCCACAAACTAAAGATGAGCGTCTTTTCCTTAGGATCCTTCTCTCTAATTGCGGACAATATCTCCATCGTCTTGGTAATTTTGGCACTTGGGACCCAATCCTTCCTGAGACGTTTTAGATATTTCGCCTTCGCGGCGGCATTGCTTGAGCTGGCTTTCTTCAGAGCTGCCATAGAGGTGAACTTAGTCTTCCCATTTCGATGCCGCTTCCTGCTGACCGCGCTGTTCGTGTTCGTCTTCCTCTTCTTTGACCTGGCAACATTCTCATGATTAGGACGTTTTCGCTTACCCCCGGTCTGAGATGCTTTCTTTACATCCGCACCAACGTCTGATACCGAGTCGGACGGGGCTTTGCGTTTCTTGGACTGTTCAGATTTATCTTTACCGGTGTACTTCATTGCTTCAACTTGTTTCCAGATTTTCTCCAGGGACATTAGAGAATCATCATCGGAGTCTTCTGCGGGGTTTTCATTTAGGAACTCCTTGTTGGCAGAAACGTCCTTCCATATCGCATCAGTAGAGACCTCGGGCTGTATAGGCTTTGCCTTTTGAGAAGTAGAATCATCTCCTACATCCGAACTATCTTCTTTTTCTTTCTGTTCTTCTTCCTCTTCAACTTCTTCGTCTTCTTCGTCTTCCTCTTCGTCCTCGTCTCCCGATACGATGAAGCCCTTCAAGTTTCCGCGTGCATCTACGTCATCATCCGAGTCCTCTACACTTTCGAACCCGTCCGAATCATCATCCGAGTCATCACTGTCGTCCAATCCAAGCTTCTCAGGCGTATGTGCTTCTACGAAAGAAAAGTGGCAGATGATCCGCTCGGGGTTGATTTCCGAATCGCAATTTTCATGCGGGCAAATATTCTGCTGTTCGGAATTCGGATCTCGGATCTCCATCATGGCAGAAAAACAAGTACTGCAGATCGAATGACCACAGGAGTATATTATGAGGGGGTTTTCAGTCGCTTCGTTGCAGAGCGGGCATTCAAATTCAGTCTGTGCTTTGAGCCTCCTCACGACGTTAGGTTTGAGCCTCAGGGCGAGTCGACGCATTTCCTCCGACGAAAGTTGTATGCCCTCCGGAATACCGAAATCCTTTATCAAATGTGGGTGACAGCAGGCTTGACGTAGGCGCAGTAGTAATACAAGAATGTAACTATACTGCCTCATTATCGTCCCGGCCTTGATGAACTCGTTCACTTTGAGTCGCTGTTTCTGTTCGAGAGCGTCGTAAAAGTCCTGCTGGTCCTTATTGAACTTAGTTGTAGCCTCTTCTTTCACGAGTGCCGGTAGCTGGAGGATGGGTTTGCCGTCAAGCATGCTCGTCTTAGTCCGCCGCAGGGTTATACTCCTGAATAGAGCCTGTAGCTTCCTCAAGGCGCTATCGTGGAGGTTATCATTCCAACTCTTCAGCGGCCTATTGATTTCCTTGTTGAATGCATCCCATTCACTATAAGGCTTAATACGAAGAAAACGGATAAGTGGAAATATTTCCTCAGCTTTGTTCATGAACGGTGTCCCCGTCATACAAAGTCTGTAAGTTGACTTAATCCTGGACACAGCTACTGAAGCTTTAGCCTGTCTGTTTTTAATGGAGTGGGCTTCATCGAGAATGATTCGATGGAAGATGACATTATTAGCTAGTATTAGCGGTTTCTTCTTCATACTTGACAGGCTTTTATACTCGGAGATGATGGTTCCGTAGGTGGTTAGGACGACGTCGTAGGTGAGGAGTCTAGGAACAGTCATTCCGCGCTTCATCTGACCATGCAATATGACAGTTTTCAGCTTATGGGCTGGTTTGACCTTGGTCTGAATTTCCCTCTCCCATTGTTTGAGGAGGGAGAGCGGAGCGATAATCAATGTTGTTTTGTGAATGCGGTCTTTTGAAGGGCGTGCTAAAATCAAGGCCAGTGCTTGAACAGTCTTACCAAGGCCCATGGTATCTTGTAAAGAGATGATTAGTTCTCCTCATCATCCAACCGTTCTGGGTGTGCTATTAGAAATTACCTGCTAGAATACCCCCCTTCTTGTGGATATCTTCTTCCTGCTGTATCAACCAAGTCAGACAAACCTTCTGATGTTCCATTAGGGTACAGGACATCGAAGCCGGCGTGCTCTTTCGCTGTTCCGGAGAAATGTCGATTTCTGGCATTGTCAAGAAATTCTGTATTTCTTTCTCCTGCAATTCCCCTGATTTCGCTGGTTGCGGGTAGGTATTTCTGCCATGTCTGACACCATCGTCGCTATCGTCATCATAATCATCATCGCTATAGGAACCTAACCCTCGAACGATAGCAGCAAGGTTTAGAGGCCCACCTTCAAGTTCGCATGGGTAGTACGATTGACCTTGGTCGAGGGCGCTCGCCGATGACTCGGATTCTTGATACATTTCGCGTGCGGTTCTGAACGCGTTTGCAGCGACAGGTAGAGAGTCACCGAAAGATCTTGCTTGATTCATCTTCTTTCGCTTTTCTCTGCCTTGGCTTTGTGTTTGTCGCGGCTGCTCTTGTGGCTGACGCCTCAATCGTTCTTGGCGAATGGTTTCTTCGACACTCTCTACGTCTCGATTCGCTCGTTGCTCTAGCTGCGTTGTTTCAGATATGCGAGCCTCGCCGGCCTGTCTAGGCTGATCTACAGCTGTCTGTTTGTTAAGTGTCGGCTGGTGGTTTTCTTGATCGAACAGGTCAGGCCCAGCGTTATCTGTAGCTCGGGCTACAGAAGTCGACAGTTGGCGTTCCGGCCGCACACTTTGACGATTCGACCTACTTTCGGCATGTAAAGACAACGGCGGCATAATGGCCTTTGTGCTTTTGTCTACCGATATCTCAGCTTGCCCAAGCTTGCCCAAGTAATAAAGAGGTAGGTATGCAGTCAGAGTGGCACGGGCAAATGGGAAAGGCAGAAAATTAGGCTGCAGCCCAAGAATTCGAGAGTTGATACTGATTGGGTTGAAAGTTTAATTCCGTAGATAACATTTTTTTTCTTTTCGGTTTTAAGTGATACTTGAAATAAAAAGTACTACATAGGTTACTACTAAAAATCAGAATAACTTGGATGAAGGTAAGTTTACTTGGACCTAGGTACCTTGAGGATCGTGATTGCACCCATTACGTCGGTCCTGATCGCCCTACCTTCCTTCCTTCCTTTCGGTAGGTACCTAGGTACGTATCTTCCCTAATTTACCTTAGTCTTGACGCGCATACTCGCGACGCCACGTGCCTCATCCTTGCGCATACATAGGTACCTAGGTACGCAAGCTCTGACGATCATTCAGGCACCAGTCCTTACCTTAGGTACCTCCTAGGTAAGGTAGGTATGTACCTAATGTACCTACATGTATTTAGGTAATCAAATCACTTGACTCCACTCTGTACAATAGCCATTTCTCAAACATTAAATAGAGTTGTTAATTACTAACACAATCATTAAATCCCGACTTGTTATTCTAACTAGTTACAAGCAACTCAATCACGACCTTAACCATGCCAAGTCTTGATGAGATTAGCTACCCACGCGACGCGACCGTCGCTACAGTTCGGGACTATTACTACTTAGGTCCTTACTAGAATGTATCTTAAAGAATCGGACGTCATTGAACCTCCCGAAGACAGTTGGCCAAATCTTAGTGCCAACCTGCAATCATTAAGACAGACGATAGATAACCTGCTCTCAAGAAGCTGCCGCCACCGCGTATTGCTTAGATTGCAAAGTAACAGCTGTCTGGAGCAATTAACATAACGGCAAAGACTGGGCGGGATAGGCTAACTCTACATGGTGGAATACATTGATGAAAAACAATAAGATGAGTTTCTAACACCGATGATCATTGGTAGCCATTTTCATAAACCTCGTGCTCGATGGCTAGTAACTACCTATATATTTCTTTCATGTGCTATGCCACATTAGTGTCCAGCAGCCCGTCGCTGTCTTTGCTTCGTGGCCTGCTCTTCCATATGCGCCCGAACAGTATCGCTTAAGTTTTTAGCTAGCTCAAGTGGCGTTCTGCGCTCAATATCATATGCTGCGAGATCGGCATCAGCATCAACGAGCATGTCCACTACAGCGTTGTGGTTATGAAGACAAGCCACATGCAGCGGCGTGCGGCCTAAGTCATCGACTGTGTTGATAAAAGCGACGCGGATGAGCGCCCGAACGGCTGCTTCATGTCCTCCCTTAGCAGCAAGATGTAGCGGCGAGGACCCGTCGCGCAGCCTCGCAAGGTCCGGGTTCGCGTCGTTTTGTAGAAGTAGCTCCACCACTGTGCCATGCCCATTCTCTGCTGCCTCGTGAAGGCAAGTCTCTTGACTATCCGTGATAGCATTGACCTCGGACTTTGCCGCTATGAGGAGACGTGTTATTTCCAAGAATCCCCGTCTTGCAGCGAGTGAAAGCACATTGGAATAAGAGTAATGCTGCGCTTGCAATGGCATTTCGGGGACTTTTTCGAGCAACAGTTTCACCACGTCTGCGTGTTCACCCATTACAGCACGCATCAGCGTTGTGCTGGAAATACTATGCTTCTCATCCTCAAACGTCCGCAGGCCTGAGACAACAGCTACCTGTAGTGTTTGCAGCTCTTCCGATGTGGCCCATTTAGAAGGATCGGGTCTCCAGGGAGATTCTTCGGCATCCTTTACTAATGCTCCGGCTTTAGCTAACGCCACGAGAAGACTCTGCTCACAGTAAGGATCCTCAGTTGGCCAACTTGGAACACACTGCCTCCACTTATCCATGGCAACTTCTATCTGGGCGGGGAGCCTGTCTAGAAGCAACTCAACAATCTTCTTATGTCCATTCTGCGCGGCTAGATGGATGGCCATATTACGGTGTTTGTCGATGCGATATATTATAGAACCTGCCTGTATGAGCCGCAGCACAACTTCGAAATGGCCCTTCTCCGATGCTAAAAATAGCGCTGTCCGTTCCTCATCGTCCCGTCGATCGATCACGGCCATATCTTGGGTGTAATTCAAGAGCTTGTCTACGACGTCAACATGTCCTAGCTTAGCCGCTAGGTGGATCGCTGTCTGATTGAAGGTATCTTGCTTTGAAATCAATATTCTTCCTCTCTCGGCCTCGAGAAGCGCGTGGGCAGTCTGATAATAGCCACCGAGAGCTGCAGCGTGCAGAGGGGTGCGATCATCGTTACTTGCTACAAACTCAGCCTGAGCGGTAAGGAGCATCTGAGTTTCCGCTATGTTACCTACTTCGGCAGCAATGTAAAGAGGTGTCTTTCTCTGTGAATCTTCCGCGTTGACATTAGCCTTTGCTGCAATGAGCGCCTCTGTGATAACTGGATCGACCTGCTGGACTGCATAGTGGAGAGGTGTCCGGCCTATTTGATCCGTAATTTCCATGTTAGCCTGAGCCTTCAAGAGCTGCTGGACCACATCTAAACGCCTAGCTAAGACGGCAGTATGTAGTAGCGTTCTGCCTAGCTCATCTTGAGAATTCACTGAGGAGTTATCAAGACTTGTCATGCGAGCCTCGAGGTCTCCTTCTGAAGTCGAGTCCGCTTCTTGGAAAAGCTTCGCTATATCTGGGTGCTTGGTCTTGTCTACTGCTCCGGCGGGGGTTTGCTGGTCCATATTAAGGCATTTAGTCGAAGCCCCAGCACCAAGCAGAGCGGCAACAATGCTTTTGTTTCCCTTAGAAGCGGCAATATGGAGGGCAGTATTTCCCCGCTCATCGCGTTCAGATAAGTCCAACTTCAAACCCTGGTCAAGGAACAATTCGACCAAGTCCAATCTACTTAGGTAAACGGCCATATAAAGAGACAGATTCCCAGGTGCAGCGCCCTTGCCGAGGAGGAACTTTGCAGCTGACAAGTTTCCCGTGGCCGCAGCAAGAAACAGCGCTGTCCTCCCACAATTGTCTTGCGCGTCTATGGGAACCCCGTTCTGGATCAAACGGTCAAGAAGAGCGTCCGTAGGTGGCGGTTGGTCTCTCTGCCGTCCTATAGATGCGTGGAGTGCTGTCCATCCATCCACATCTCGCGTGTCTGGCTGCGCGTGGTACTCAAAGAGGAGATCGATAACCTGCTCCTGACCTTTGCGCAGCCATGCGGCCGCATTATGCAGGACTGTACGACCCACCCAGTCGGGGATATCCTGCTTTATCTCAGTTCTCTCAAGTAGCATGCGTACGATCCCTACGTGACCCTTCATCGCAGCAAATCTTAGCGGCGTCCTCTGCCACATGTCTAATTTTCCGGCATCAGTACCGGCTTTCAGCAAGCAGTCCACTACTTTTATATGTCCATTCCCAGCAGGTTTGAAGAGAGCCGTCTCGCCACGCCTGTCGACGCTGTTCTGATCTGCGTTATGTTGTAATAGACAGTTTACAACATCTATATGGCCCCGCTCAGCTGCGAAGTAGAGTGGCGTTCGTTGGGACTTATCCTTAGCATTTACCGATTCTTTATCTACACTGAGGAGATACTCAACAAGGTCTGTTTTGCCAAATATACAGGCCTTATGTAGCGCCCTTTGCCCAAGCAGGTCCTCGTACGATATGTCGACGTTAGCCTTACACAAGAACTTGACCATATCGGTCGAGCCACGGCGAGCAGATTGGATCAAAGGTCTGCGACAATGCTCGACTAGAGAAGGTTCATGCTCTAGAAGCAGGGAGACTATGTCGATATGGCCATTCTCAATGGCGAGGCCAATAGGCGTTTCGATTGCTCTGCTATCGTTCGACAAGCTGGCATTGTGCTGAAGCAAAATTTCAACACATCGCTTTAATCCAAGTTGGCAAGCGATGTGCATCGGCATGAATTTGTACTTGTCTGGGAAATTAATGACTTGCCGACCCATGTCAGCCGCTAGCAATTGACCTAGAGTCTCATAATTTCCTCGTCGTACCGCCCTGTGTAGAGGATAGGCGCCAGTCGCATCTGCCAAGTCCATCCGGGCCTCTAATTCTAGTAGCTCCTTTACAATCAACGGATAGCCTCGTCCTGCCGCAATATGTAGAGCAGTGCTACCCGTGGCGTCACGACTATTGATGTTGGTATATTCTAGGAATAGACGGCCAAACTTCCACATGTTGAAAAATACGGCAATATGTAGAGGCTGCGGCAGGACGCTTTTGCTACCATAGAGCCCAAAGTGGGCCCGGAATATGCTGTCCATCTCAGCGCGTGCTGTTAACCAGGCGGAGAAAACATTTACTCCCCGAAAGAAGACCATTAGTGTCTTCATCTCTCTTTCATTGGCCATAATCTTAGTCTCGGATTTCTCACAGTGACCCGGCCATTCCAGCACCGCATACTCGTGGAGATCTTTATTGTCTAAGAAAGCCAACGAATCGGACTTGGGCACGCCATCCCTATCAAAGTTCCACCGCAGATATGTCACACAGGTAATGGCTATGTGTTCGTGGCTGGCGTCTAAGTCAACCCTGAAGGCATTAGGACACTGTACGCCGTTATCTTCCACTTCCTCGCCCATCAAGAACTGCGATACTGTTGTGTGAACCAGGCGTACGGTCTTGTCCTCGAAGACTTCCACTAGTGGTAACAAGTCTCGGAGAAGATATATTTGGAATAGATCTCTCCCGTAGCGATCCTTCCCTAGTTCCTTCGGGGGGTTCTCTGCATCTAAATCGAAGCATTCTTTAGGCCACACAGTTCTGTCGATTATATCAACTCCCCGAAGGCCATCAAAAGTAAGCGGTCGTCGGCATGTTACCAACCATTGCAACATCCTGCCAGCAAATTTTTTATCTCGGGCATTGTTTAAACGGTCGGCGTATAGAGCAGTTAGTGTTTTTGGTAATTTCTCCATCTCCACTAGGAAGTCATCTTCAGTGCCGACTTTGTTCTCGAGGATATCAAGCATAAGCTTCGCATAAAGGATCATGCCCTATAAGCAGACATAAGCAAATATAATGATTGTGGAAGACGGTAGGAGGTAGATAAAGAAGTAGAGAATCGTACACTTGAGCGAGCTTTCAGCTTTTCCACCACTCTCGACATTTCCGCGGGAAACTCTGAGTCTGGATTCTCGATCCGGCTTGTAATGTACAATTTAATATCCGCGTCTAATCTTTTTACCGCACTGCTTAGATGGAGGTGGTTGTCTATGGGGTTATCGCAGAGTTTCTTAGTCTTCTGCAAGGAACGGCTTGTAATGACGATTTGAATCTTGGGAAGTTTTCTGAGGGTTTCTAGCCATTTCTTCAGCACTTCTAACTCTGTGTCTCTGCACTCATCGAGAGCATCTACGATGAGGAAGCTCGGATAGGCTAGGGATAAAACTTCCCGCAGTGCTTTAACGTAGGATTCCTCATTGTAGCCCCCGCTAAGAATTATATTGTGTACCGATTTAAAGCATTGGGTCTTTAACTTTGGTTGAGTCATTCGAACTCCTTCGAGTAGCTGGTGAAGGATTGTCTGGTAAAACTTGTTGAGAGAGCGAAGGTCTTTGGCTTCTTCAGATTTAGCGTCAAAGAAGAAGTACATTAGATTTTTTCCGTGGCCCTTCCGAATATGCTCGCATACCCACTACATTGGCGTTAGATATTCCTAACAGAACTATGCACTATGATGTGCTACTAATGATAATTCATTATATGCTACTTACCTGGGCAATATAAGTCTTGCCTGACCCGGGATTGCCTAATATCCAGAGAATGTTGGTCTCTGGACTCCAATTCTGAAATTCTTCCTCGCCGGCGATCCACTCGCAGGTGCCAGGAGTGAGCTTCCTCCGTTGGCTTTCTGTGGTGGTGGTGAAATTGTACGGTTCAAGGTTTTTGAGCAAATCTAACTCGCTCGTGTCTACCTAGGTAGTCATCTCAGTTTGTTACATTCTCCTACGGAAGCATTATAGAAAGGTACGAAGAGAGGGGTTCAAACCAAGGTCATTTCTTTTCCTTTCCATATCCTCTAAATTGGGTTGTTAACGTTACCGGCTGAGCGATTATATAGGGAAGGGATTAACCTACCAGTCCAAGACTGTAACATCTCAACCATTTTGTCCTTAACCGCAATATAGCTCGCATCTCCCCGGTCATAGTACTTATTAAGACCGAAATGGTCCGTGTCTAGCCCTCTCGCCTCTTGCCCGCGGCGGGTAGCTGCTTCTCGTTTGACAATCTGAAGAACGGTACTGTTTAGTCACATAACTACCTTCTAGATATCTAAGGTCGATCTTTTTAATCTTACCATCTCGAATTGAATTCCAAAGATAACATTAGACCTAAGTTCGTGAAAGTCAAATGAGAGGTCCCGGAAATACTTCAGGAAATCATCTTCCAGTTTCGTTGTCTCCTGAGACCCTGGATCCATATATCCGAGTAATAGGGGATTTGCGCCTTCCCAATAATGGAAGAGGCAGTAGAGCTTCCCCCAAAAGGAATAACCAGAACCTGCGTGGGGTGTACCCAGGAAAATAACGCCGGCGAGGCTATTCGTCAAGCTCTCGTGACATGCTCGGGTGTTAGCATTGGCAGCTGCTCCTTTCGCCAGGACAAGGGCCTATCATAAGATACCAGTCAGCCATGTTTAAGGGTTGTAGAAGGATTAGGATAAAGGTAGGCACAGTGAAAATAGGAAATACTGACTTGTTCAATTAACAACCCGCCAAAGCTGTGGCCGACTAAGATCAAGGGCCGGTCTCTTGACTATTACATACAATGACACGTTAGCATTTTCAGCTGGTATAACCACCTAAAGCCGATACTGTGGTACTCTTGCCTCATCTATTGCCCTTAGGCCTTCGAGGGCTCCGAGAAACTGCCTTCCATGGTCAACTAAGTCTTTTACTAATGCTCGAGACTCCCAGCTAGAGTTGTGGCGGAAAGTCATAACTCGAGCTTTGGGGAAATCTAAGTGAAGGAAGTCTCGTAACCAGAGACTTCCCGAGATTTTGTGTGTCCATGTCGTCTCAACTGATGATCCTAGCCCATGAACCGCAACGATACTAATAAATAGGTTAGTAGCTAATAAGTCGAGGGCTGACTTGAAAGCAGACCGGGGAGTCTTACTCAACTTCGGCATCAGATGGATCTTTTAGGATAGTGAGTAGCGGGCCCTCAGGTACATATTGAGGGGTATTCAGTAGCATATTCTTGACAGTCCGGACGAGAAATGATCGAAGAGGGGACATAGCAATAGCTAGGCCTAGAATAATAAAAGAGATAGTTTTTCCCCATGGAGAGTGAGGGGGCGAGATAATCCATACGGTCACGGCGCCGATAGTCACCGAAATGAAGTTTCTAATTGAAATCCGATCCAGACGAATGGACAATAAGACGAAGGCGAGCACCACGAATGGTAAATATTCTTGAGATACAGTCGGCATTCTGAGCTCTTAATAGCCGCACGACCAGTCGAACAGCGATCGGGGAGGAGATCTCTACTTTTCTTGTAACCGCAAGGATGATATCGATAGGTGAAGTTAGTGATGTAGGTTAGATTCAAAAGATTTCTAGCGAAAAGGAAAACTGTCCACTGGCACATAGAGATAACGGAAACTTGAGCCTCATTCCTTAGTAACAGGTAATCTGCAAATCAAAACGTTGCGGCCCAAATCAGAGGCAAATTTTCAGGATTGGTGCCACGAGACAATCTTGTTGATGTGAATATGATACATAGTATTCAACTGCATAAAAGTGCTATCTAGGCGCTGAAAGTCATTGGTCAGTTAAATAATGATAATCTATGAGAACTGTGGTACCCAAGCATCACGTAGCTTCAGGTGCGCGAATTCAGCGACAAGCATAACCAATATAAAGAATATTAAGGCACCCCTTCCCTGTTTATTGGTCATTAACTTACCGGTATCTATGCAACCGACGTGGTATTCAAAAGCATGCATACTCCGATGCCTTGAAGTATAATGATCTTTCTCCAAGTCAGAGAAAAAGTAGAAGGGAGTAAGGCATATTCGACCAGGCGTACATTTCACCAACACCAGAATGTGTAGCGACTTAGGGGCCTTACAAGATATTATGATTGAACCTCCCTTCTATTTAGACGCCGAGCTTTGTAAAAGTCTAGAGGCAATTGGACCGGACATAACTAATGGCATCAGAAGAACCATCAGGCCCCTTCAACGAAGCCAGGAAACCCCACCGGAGAAAGACTACTTGCCCGGTGAACCTCGAATAAAACTGGAAAACGACACGATCGGCACCGATCTCGAGGAGGAATTAGTCACCAACGATTTAGACCAACTATCTCCGCACCTTTGGCTCGTCGCGAAACAAGATAGCGCCCATATCTCGTCTCTCACACACCAGATTGTCCGGGGGCGCAGGATCATTATTACGGAGAAGCCGGAACTACATCTTGTCTGGTATTATAACCAAGTGTTTATTAAGCCGCTACCTAAATACCTTCTTTCATATGCCTTTTGGAAATACTACCTGATTTCTCCACACTCGCCTATCCAGGAACCACTGCAAAGTTCCTTGAGGAAAGCAGCACTTGGCTTTCTTCGGTCATACAGTTATCTCATTCAGCGGCGATCAGATTTCAACCTTGCCATGAATGAGGACCACCGTCTGCTCCCTAAAAATATCAAGTACAGCAGCTTTTCTCGACTAATTACGTCTGTACAAAGTATCGGAGACGATATGGTCTCCCCACGATACCACTATGGCGAGCTGCGACTTTCACGCCTGAACTTTTGGATCAAAATATTCTTCTTTCGTTTCACCTATCACAAAGCTGAAGGACAATATGGCCCTTACTTTGCCCGCTTCTACGGACCTATTCTATTCCTCTTTGGCCTCTTTTCTGTTCTTCTAAGCGCAATGCAGGTCGTTTTAGCTGCGATGCCGCCTACTGAGAACTCGAGTGCATCGTGGCTAAACTTCCCGCTGGTATCTCGGGGGTTCTCAATCTTCACGTTGCTTGTCGTCGCAGTTATCACCTGCTACTTTTTGTTGGCTTTCGTAGGCCTAGCATCTCGAGAAATTATCTTCGCTTTGAGGGACCTGTACCGCAAGAGGCGACGAGCAGCTTGACCTTGGCCTTGACGTACAGGAAACGGCCCAGGAGCAACGAATAGCGTAGGAACCAATAATGAATGGGCTATGGAAACATAGGTATATATTCCTGAATCATTTACCTATCCACCCGTCATAATATTCAATCTGCTTATTAGTGTTGGCTTTTGCCTCCTCGCACCCAGAGGGTGCTGCTTTTTAGTTAAGGAATCGGGCAAGATTAAGGATGGCGTATCAGACTTTGAAGGCCAATACCTTCAAAAACACGTAACGTTCGAGAAATAGGAGTATTTCTTAATATAACTGTTTCGTGATATAGCTCATAGATCTGAAGAGATTGGCCATTTTATATGCAAGTAGGCTTTTCTTAGATCGTCAATAATCTGTCCTGGAATGGCATCATTTCTTGATAGCTATTAGCACGTGACACTAACACTTGCTCATCTAGCTCTTTACTCTCTTCGGCGATTATTGTCTTATTGATAACCATTTCCCTCGAGTTATTCATTAAGGAATTTACATGTAATTCATGCATCGCATCAATCGGACATCCATTCTATGACATCCACAACTACATTTCAATACCAGCCCTTGCCGGCAAGATCAATCCGAATAATTAAGCTGTTACCAGCGCGTTGTCCTGAAGATCCATTAAGATGTACCATTGAAGCTGTCTGCCTTGACTACGCAAAAGCGCGACCATATGAGGCCCTCTCATACGTATGGGGCGAACCGGCTCGACAGTGGCCCCTAGACTGCGGGGGTGCAAAGCTCCTAGTTACTAAGAACTGCCATGAAGCGATGGTGAATTTACGGCATAAGTTTATGTCAAGAGTGCTGTGGATCGACGCCATTTGCATCAACCAAAGCAATGACGATGAGGCGATCGAGGAGCGAAATGGCCAAGTTAAAATGATAGGAGAAGTGTACCTCAGAGCGAAACTGGTCTTGATCTGGTTCGGGCGGGGAGACGCGTCAACCGCAGTTCTCTTTCGCTACCTCCCGCTTTTCAACATCTTAGACAGGATACAGGATGGGTATCCAGTGCTTGAAAACGCTTTTTATACGTTAATTGCTCAACACTTTGATATAACTTACGGTAAGCTACGATTAGGATTTCATGTCTAAGGCTGCCTGGTAAAAACAACACTTACACAAATCGGAATAGGGTTTCTGGTTAAACACAAGCGTTCACAGTTGCTAGAGTCCATGACCGCTATCCTCGAGAATCCATGGTTTGAAAGGGTCTGGACGATACAAGAGGTTGCGTTCGGAAGGAAGTGCGTTATTATATGCGGCAAGTCTAGTATAAATTGGGAGTCATTCTGCGGAGCCTACCTGGCTAAACCCAAACTACGAGGGGCGAGCCGTCCATCTAGGGACCTAATCCTTCCTCGCTGGAGACTGTACTTGTCACTGCGCGGTTCGAGTCTCAAAGCTATCCCGCAGACCCGCTTCGAAGGAGACGGTCAAGTAAGATTCGAACTTGAACTCCTGTCCGAGATCCGGAACATGAAAGCAACCATTGCGCACGACAAAGTATATTCTCTATATTCGGTACTCCAGGCCATGGGAATCGACTTACCGAGCCCTGACTACGGGAAGGATGTAGTAAAGGTTTTTGAAGAAGCAACGCTGGCTTATATCAGAAGCCGTCAAAATCTCAATGTTATCGCAATTACACTACCTCCAGACCCAAGCTCCGGATCTCCTTCTTGGGTCCCCGATTGGTTGACCCCGGGACGCAATGGCTCGGCGTTGATTTGGAAAATAAGGGACTTCGATACACAATATCATTCCACTACTCCCATACTCACGGATAATACCCGGGATGGCAAGTTAGGCGTAATGGGGAAGGCTATTGGGAAAATAAATAGGAGGATCCGTTGTCCCCTTATTTTGTACCAGGCACTCAGTCAAAGCCAGGCATATCAAGAGGTTATTTCGGCTTGCCTCGACTGGCACCTTTCACTCAGTAGTCTTACTAGATATTCACCGGGAAAAGACCCTAAGCTCGTCGGGCAGGCGCTACTTCGCCCTTATCACGCCAACGTCCCCAACAGCAAACTAGGCGCTTTATACCGCTGGGTTTTGCATGATGATGGCACATCGCCTCCAGAGGATAGTGAGTGTTTAGATTAAGGTCCTATGAAGTTTCCTTTTGCTAACCCTAGGAATAATCAGAAACTACTCTCGAGGCTATCGTGGAGAAGCGCAAGCTTCGAGAAACTTGGGTAATATTCACCCTTGACACAGGCTACTGCGGTACAGCACACCATAATTGCCAAGCTGGTGATGATATAGTTCTTCTCAAATCGCTCAATCCACTCGTCCTTCGACCCCAGTCGAAGTCTCACGAGTTCAGAATTGTAGCACCCGCTTATTGTGAAGGAGCAATGAATGGTTATATGACTCCGCACAATGATGAGCTAGAAGAGATTATACTTGTCTAATGTTGTTATGGGATATTTAGTTTGGCATGTAGTCGAGATATAGGAAATCGTGGAAATATTTTGATGAAAAGAAGTTTCGAGCGGGCTGGTGTGTACCAATAGGGGCCGTTACATACCCTATCGCTAGAAATTTGAAAGACTAGGTACTTTTGCCATTAAATGTGCTGCTCACGATCGATGACCAAAATGAACAAACTAAATGACTTTCTAAGAAGATAATTCATTCTCATCATCATCCCATGTCTTGCGTTTGGGAATTTGAAGGTTTATAGTACAAGGCACCATAAGTCACGCTGACAGGTTATTAGAACTCACATTTGCAATATAACCGCAACTAAATACACTCTAGGTAACCCTTTGGTGAATTTACATAGTAACAAGTCGTCATTATTGAAGTAGTATCATACATAACTCTGGTGGGGTTGTTTTCACTATGAGGTAATAATAATCTGTCAAGTTTAAAGTCATCCCAATTACTAACGAGGCATAAATGGTCACTTGTATTACTAGTACTTAAGAAGCAATAATGAAACGATTCAAGGTTGGCTATATTGGTTAGTAAGTGATGCTATTCTCGTATTCTTGTTAACATTTTGCTAATATATCTCAACCCAACCATATCACTTATACGTTAATACGTTAATAACCAGCTACTAACTAATTATTCAATAGCTCCAAGTCTTAAATGCACCAATCGTTACACACATGTAAAGAGCATTCATCCTCTAAGGTGTCAGATAAATAACCTCGAAATAGTACCTATATATTAAAGCACAATGGTTTGCCTACTATATCGAAACGTCTGGTGTTGAACTCGATGAGACGGTTGTGCAACTTGGTTAAAACATTGGCATGTGTAAAAGCCTTTAGTCTCACCAGTAGCCGTTGATCAAGTTATGAATCAAACTACTCCAGAAGTAATATAACTCCTTGTTCTAAACCACCAATCCTCCATCTTACCGTGTAGCTGTAGATAAACCAAGTTATTTATATTCTAACTTGGGGCTGAATTTCCTGTAGGTACTGGGTTCCTTTCTTGGGACACTTGCCCCATTATACCGCCAAGACTCATCACCGCGGCGATACTAGGTAATCGTCTAATCAGATCGGCCGAGGCGTTAGATTACGACGTTGTTTTCGTCATTTATACGCGGTTGTGTACGTGTAGTTTACCCAAGACCGGCACAGCACGCAGGGATGTAGCCAATGACAAAGGTGGCGGGATTGGTTCGACATACGATTAATCTTGCGACTAATTTGTGATCATTAGTGGGAGACGCATATGCGTGGGGGGATAGGATGCGGAAGGGTAGTCCTTCGACTAAAATACTCGTAGCCGCCCGCTAACGAGTTCCTGTATATGATTGGACACAATAGCCGAACATGTTACCAACGATTAAACAAGTTTCAAGTCTTTATAGCCTATCGCGAGACTAAGAGCATTCCTTCTTGAAACACTAATGCTGTGATTTCATGTTTTGCCTTTTCTATGTTTTATTGGTCTAGAAATAATACCCAGCCGCGCAAGGAAAAATACCAACACGAATCCTTCACTTTTAATGCCCACTCACGAAATTACTACGACACAATAAGCTTGGTATATTCGGTGAAGGTGTTTAAAGAAGGAACAAGATGTCTTACCTGAGAAACGTTATTATGAGGCATTCTCGAATGAACTTACCCTTATTGGTTATAAAATAAAATGAGAGGATCCCATAGATTCGTGGCCGAAACTATGAAATAATGGTAAAGGAATAGAAAATGTGCTTGGGATGTATCAAATAGAGAGCTGCAGACTTTGCAATAATCTATTGTGCTCTATTGTGTAAGTACGAAATCAATAACAAGTCGGCATATGAGATTTATGTTGATTGTTTCGGGTTTTCTCATGGGCTTGTGCCACGCACCATATCGGAGATGTGAAAATCCTCGTACGAATCAGATCGGGGGCTTTATTTGGTATAGCACAACCTCAATCCTGATATATTGATTCAATCTGATCTGAACTTGTCAGTTGGCAGTAGCTTATGTTTAGCTCCCAAGGCATTTGTGGATAACATGACGGCTTGAGGCTCCGCCTTTGGGATCAAGTGCTGCATTGAACTTATGAGAAGAGTACCTAATGCAGGCCATCTTCTCCGCTAAGCCTAGCGGATATATGAAAACGGTGGTAAATAGTACCTAGGTAGGCTTCCGATTAAATACGCGACTAATAGGAATTCGGCTATGATGGCGGATTCATATTGAATGCTTGCTTCCCTTCTTGCTTTACATACCTAGGGGAGAATGTAAAAGAATAATTATAAAAAGGTGAAGTTGTATTTTGTGGGGGTCAGCAGGCTTGGAATTTGTCCCGGGACGACGGTCACCAGATCTGAGTTGTATGCAACAAAGTGTGCTTGCTTGCTACGTGGTTGAGGTTATGACGAAAGCAGAGGGGTCATTGTTACGAGGATGTTTATGGGGAGTAGCGCGCTAAAAATTCATGGATGTTAGCCCCGCATATTTCTCCGTTACGGCTGTAGCGTCACTGGGGCTTCATCACTTGGTCAAGGTTTTAGGGCTGGAGATCCTATTGGGAGGACTGGGAATATGTAATACCTTAAACGTTAAAGCCCCTTAACGGGATGTTTAAACCCTTACACCGATAGCTACCAAGGTACAACTTACACTTGCACTTGCACTTGCACTTGCACTTACACATGGAATATTTGGCACATTGCACATTGCACATTGCACATCGCACATCTAACACACCTTTACGCCAGAGTACAGTACCGTGCATCCTTTATATTGTATTGTACATATTTAATTCTTGTAAATTTATTGCACATACATAACACCTATTCATCACGTACATGGCATTACATGGCATTACATAACATACCGACATACACATCCATTCCCTGGTTCTCTTTCACATATCCCAACGATCTTTTTGCCCTCACCGCCACGAACACAGAAAAACAAACCGCTAACGATAAATTATGGTACGGACTATACCTAAGATAACCTAATCCCTTCATACATGTATGTATCTTTTCTGACTGCCACATCTCTCCTACTTACATCTCCCCTTTATTTCCTTGTTTCTTTACCTTACCTTACTCTTAAATCTTAAACCTTATCCTTATTGAGGTACGCACAGCTTAGGGGCCGGCATTTACTCTGGCTGATTACTGCATTCCTACGTTTTAGCTCTTACATCCACTGCTCTCATACTGCTCTCATACTGGCTTTGGGCTTGTGATAGCCACCGCGTTACCGGATACAGAAGCAATTATTGACATATTTTACCTCTTCCAAACGTACAATATGTGCAATATGTGCAATATAATGCTCTAAGCTTAGGTTGCCTTCTCAAGCACGCTATGCATGACTTGCATCCTAGGGGATATGCTTTCCCACAGCCCGGCGCTTCTTTTCGGAGTGGATGTGAACTCAATTCACTTTTACTTACTTTTGTTCTCTTCCCAGATACCAAATACCTTTCGACCTCTCCTTAGAGGCGCCCGACTCGGAAGATTTCTGGCCTATTTGACCTATTCGACCTATCCTTAGGTATAGAAAGAGCAAATTTGTTGTCTTGCTCATACATTTCGCATTAATAGTTCTCTCTTATATCAGCTTTCTTTCTAACAGCTTTCTCACACCTCGGCGGCCTCCGACCCCATCTGCTCATTATTTCTACCTCATAGCCATCGCCAGCAAATATGATACTCGAGATCCGGTCGAACTGAACAACTCATTGGGAAGCATGACAGACTATCTCCTGCTTCAATTGCACCCCGAGCCTCCGTTTTGGCCACCTCAGCAAAGATGGCTCCCGTAGCATGGCCACCGGGCATAGCATCCCTTGATGAATCCCTCGCATCCTATACTATCATCACGAAACGTAACCCCACTCGAGATTTTAACGACCCGGAAATCGTGGCCCTTATGTCGATCTCGCTCATTACAGCTTCCATCAGTGTATTTGCGGCTTTGTGCGCCTTTTACTGGTTTGTTAGGATGAGGAGGAGCTTCCGTCATGAGTAAGTCGACCAAATTTGGTAACTTTGTTCGCGTGGTAGTTTAAGATATACTTACAATACTGTAGCTTAATCATGCTTTTGATTCAGAGCGACATGACCAAGGCACTCTGGCTTGTGGTCTGCCCGCTTGCTTTCTTCGCTAGGAAACCGATCGACTCGGGATCGACCTCATGCCAAGTCCTGGGATTTCTCCTTACTATGAGCATCGAGGCCTCGGATATTGCCGTCCTCTTGATTGCTGTTCACACGGCCTTGTTTATTCTCAGACCCCGGAATTCTAGTGGCGCAGCCGGTCTGTATCCGTATAGACGCATAGCGTACATCTGTTGGGCCATCATTCCCATCATCCTGGCAGCGGTCGTACCAATCACTGGCGGCCGTTTCGAAGATAATGGTCCCCAATGCTATCTGCCTGCTCATCCTGATTGGTATCTCAGCGCACTCAGCTGGATTCCACGATACATCATTGTTGGCGTCATAGTAGTTACTTACACCTTTCTTTACATATACGTTGCTTTTCGATTTCGACGTTTCAGCAAAGACCAAAGACGTGCCAGCACAGTACATGGCGACGATCCTAACCGGAATTATAAGCGCGATCACCGCCGTGACAACAGTGGGGATGTCCCACCCACACCGCCTTTCACTGACCACGGATTGCTAGATTCGGCACGAGATAGCCTAGCGAAAGAGGATGATCCTATCGATCATCAACAGTCGGTTGCCTCAACACTTAGCAGTCTCAATTGTGGCGGGGCCACTCCCACTTCTCTGCGGCGGCCCGAACATTCTCTACGAAGCTCAGTTAGATGGAATCCCGCAGATTTTGCTACCGGCGGGTATTTCGATCCACGAGCGAGGCGCTGCAGCCACACAGCCTTTAGTAGTATTCCTGCTGTCTCATCACCGCGCGCAGAAGCAACAATCCCCATTCGCCCCCCCGATTTCGTCCATTATAGTCCACCAAAGTCCTCGCAATCTACTCGTGGCCATTCTCGATGGAAGCATTCTATGTCGTTCGGCTCGAATAGCATGACAGCTTCCGTCTCTAATACGACCAGCACCCCACGACGTGAGTCACCGCGAGCGAATGGCTCAAGGCGAAGTACGTCGTCAAGTTCCGTCTGCTTGCCCCATGAAGAAACCGAAGAGGCGATGCGACGGTCACGCGAGAAGCAACAGCGGCAACTCCGCCTTCTATTCGTCTATCCACTAATTTATATAATAACGTGGGTCGCACCATTTGTGTCGCATATTCTGCGGTATGATGGCAGTTACACCTCGCCTGGAGAGAAGTCAGAACCTGTGATATTGCAGGTTATCAGCATAGCAAGCCTGTGCATCGGCGCTGCCGTCGACTGTTGTTTCTTTAGCGCCTGGGAAAAGCCGTGGCTGCATCTGCGTGGTGGATTTTGGGAAGGCTTAGCATCACGGTTGCGGATACGTAAACCCTCACAACGACGGCAAAGGGGTATGGGTCGTACGCGCGAGGAGCGGTTCGTAGACGCGACCATGGCACGTGTACGCCGCGAGCAAGAGGAAAATCTTGAAAGCCTGAATAACGGAGCTGCGGCAGCCGCTGGAAGGCCTTCCGTACACTGGACGCGACAGAACACGGGTTCCCGCGAGTGGTGGGACGTATTAGACGTGGAATACGATGATTCCCCCGGGACGAGCCGCCCCCAACCAAACGGGATACAAGCAGGATCTTAACATAATATTATGTAATTACGAACGACATGACGAATATGAGGGTTAGGCGCCAACATGCATTGGCTAACGACCGGGGAACAATATCGGCTTAATACCGAATGCAGGTCAGACTGGAGCATTTACATCGGAAAGGGCAACGAATGTCACGATAAGATTCATTTGCATATATGCATGGCACGGTGCCCGGATTTCATTTTTTGTAGGCATAACGGTACTATGGTATACATACCTAGGTTGGAGAAGAGAAGAGCGTGGGGGTTGGTTTAAAAAAAACCCCCCCCATCTAATTGCTCTTGACATATTTACTGCGTATATTCAAACAGCGTTACGGGAGGCGGGGAGCATTGCTAAAAAAGGGAGGGCATTGGGCGGCGTTCACACATATGTAATAAGCATGGAGTTACATCAGGCGATGCGACAGGAGGAAGGCTACCTATCCGAGTAGTCTAATAAACCTGGGCATTGAGGATCCATACGATCCATACGATCCATACCATGGAATTACAATTCTTGAAAGAGAAGAATGGTTAGGTTATTGGATGCAGAATAAGTCAACACGTGATGTTGTCTCACTCATTTATCACTTCTCTGTTGGCACTTGTGCAATGATGATTCTTTTTTTCTTTTTTATTTGATTGATCTTGATACTCGATCTGAGACAATGTCTGCTATATGTGATAGGAAAAACGGATAATCGACAACCTTCTTATTCTACTCAACCGTTAAGTGATATTGAGTTGGTAATAGATATGATCATTCTGCATCAAAGGTACGTATTGCATTATAAGACTTCATGGTGTCTGAAGAAATGCCGCCATTCCCCGGCAGCTAACCGATTGGTCTTCAAAACCGGTCAATGAAGCACAATCCTATTTTGTGTAACCAACACCTGCGGATCCTTTCTGCCCCGTCTTATTATGGTGCTGTTCGAGGATGCCCGTATAAATTTAAGTCTCTCCTATCTTTTTACTTGTCCTTCTCTACCTACCATCCCTTACTGTCGTAGGAAACGCAGGAAGGCCCTAGCAACGGCGACGCCATCGTGCTTATTACTAACACGACGCATACCGTCCTCGAAGATATCCGGACCTAGGATACCACCATATCGGCGCATCTCGAGGATCTCACGCACCATATCGTCGGTGAACTCGGGATGGCCCTGCACTGTGATAAATCGCTTCGGGATATACATGGCCTGCACATCACACACGTCGGTACGGGCCAACTGGATGGCGCCTGGGGGTAACGAGAACACTTGATCACGGTGCATTTGGTGGATAGCCTGTGATGCGCGCAGATAAGCAACTGACTACCAAGGCAGGATATGGGGAAACAAGGAAGTGTATGGAAATGAAGAACGAAAAGGGCAGGGTATACAAACCAGCTTCTGTACGCCGAACAGCTTCTTTCCCTCTTCTGTGAGCTTGTGGTCGGTGACGCTTATCTCCCATCCGCGAACATTCTTGCCGACCTCGACCCCAAGGGCACGGCCAACTATCTGGTGACCGAAGCAGACGCCGATAACACGGACGCGGCCGCCTTCGAGACACCGCCTCGTATACTGAGTGAGGCGGACGATCCAATCGTCATTGTCATATGCGGAGTACTTAGAGCCGCTGATGAGGATGGCGTCGATCGTCTCGGGGTCCGGGTACGAGTCGGGGTGATTTACAATGTCGTGAAACGAGAGCTCGAGTATGGCAGAGAGGGGTTGGGGTGGCTCTAGGGATGCACACGCCCTCTCAAAAAGATATTTGAAGACCCCGCCGTACGACCCGTATTTAGTTTTGATTCCAGGAACTGGGTTGTCGGCTTCGAGTATCGCGAGGCGGATCGGAGGGATGTACACGGAACCCATGATGCTTTTTTCTTTTTGGGGGTTTTTTTTTCAACCCCAAATTATCGGGCAATGGGTTGACGATTAAGTAAAAGGTAGGTCGATGGGGGAGGTATGGTAGAGGCACGTTGGAGTTTATGAAGATGCAATTGATCCGAGGAAACAATGAAAAGGATGAAACGGCTAAGGCTAGGGAATCTACCGGGTGGGCCAAACGAGAAGAATGTCTCAAGACTTCGCACTAGCCTTTATATATACGATCAAGACGCCGGTAGTGGAGGCCAGCTCGTGCGTCGACAGGATTCAGGTGGTGAACACCTCCCCCTTATTCAGAAGTGATTCAGAAGTGACAGGTGTTGGACGTGACTGTACTTCAGCAGATGCAGGAGATCCAAATCCCTCTTCTCCCGCCCCTCATGGCGACATTACATACCTTGGCCCCCAGCAGCTACCCAGACCCCCATTAACGAAGAGCTTGTCCTTAGTTGCACTTGCATATACGTGTCTGTGTGCGCCAAGAAAACGGACTGGATAGGTTCGGAGATAGAAATGTAGACGGGTGGCGGGGGGAAGTATAATGGACTGAATGGGTTATAATTGGAGGGGGGGGGGGGGAGAAAACTTAGGTAAACGATAGGAACATTAAACAATTCGATTCACTATCAACGGAAGCTTCGATAGGCAGAATCACAGGCGGTGAGCCCTTTTCGTCATTAGTCGAGGAGCTAACCTGGTTAACATTACCCAGGTAGTCCTAGTGTATTACAGTATGTAAATGTCTACCTAGGTTAGGTACCTATGTATTAGTTAGGCGGTACCTAGGTATGTACTACATTTACTACATCTACCTATATAAAATCAAAAACCTGGTTGGGTAGCACAACTGCACAAGTGGGGATCATTACTCCAAAGTACCTGCCCTTGCCGCTACTCGTAATATATCGTGCTTTAATTTTTAAGACCCAGCTCCCTGCTAGTACATTAACCTAGTAGATTACGGTACGTATATGTAGTACTAGACTAGACTTCCAGGTACGTAATGCGCCTCAATGAAACGGCACAACGCGCCATTGCGGCTCGGTGTTTAAACTGTGGCTAAGGAGCCTCTGATTCGTTAAAAAGGGGGTTAAGTTCTCACGTCCCAGCAACATATTAACATATTAACTAACATATTAACAAACTTGCCTTCCATAATAAGAACAACCAAAGCTATTCATAATAAGGCTTAGGGTGATTATATTTTTCTTCAAGCTTATTTACCCAAGTGTACAGCTAGCCTCACCTCATAACTTCGGAAATAAGACTGCTACTTTTCTTTTTTTTTCTTTTTTTTTCCTCCCTTCGTTCTCCTCTCCTCCTCTCATTCTCATTCTCATCTCACACCACCTTTAACACCGGCAAAGCTGGATACCCATTCGGTCCGCTGCTGAAAACATTGGATCGGGATCCGGCTATTTCAGCTATTACAAATTTTGCAAGTTCATATTATATGTGACCGTGTGTCATAAACCAATCAATAGCCATCCAGGGATCAATGGTAAGCTTCCCATTCGCCAGATAAACCGCACTGCTTCAGCTGCTAGGCAGTTCGACTGGTCGGAAGAAGCAAGGTGCTGTATAAGATAGTGTAGTCTCTTGCAAGGTCGTCAAAACTGAGGCAACTATCCGCGAACATGGAGCCTCTTCCTAGCACGTATCCACTGGATAATTCTCCACTCTGATCTGATAGTTACACTTCTTGTCCCTGCAATGCGACACCCGCTTCTGGGGAAGACATACCTCACACTCGGGGTCTGCCAGTTGCGGTGTTTGCTATTGGTGTGGGGGTGGGCTACTTAAACTGTCTTGTATGTCCTATTGCGAATCGGGATATGCAGTAAGCAGCCATCCACTGCGGCACTACCGCAGTGACACGTCGGGAGGGTATGTCAAGATTTCGGTACCTGGTTTGGGAAGCTATTTAGATGCATCTATTCGACCCTAAAAGGAGATAACGCACGATATTGACCCCAACAAAGTGACGACAGTGATTCTATCGTGATTAAAAAGCATCTCATCGCCCATATTGACCACTGATGCCAGATATGATCGTCGGTCACTGCATGAGCTCGTCTGCTCAAGGTACAAGGTAGTTTATGCACGGTGGCTGCAATCTGCCGCAGATGGCGCTGCCGTACATCAGAAACGACGAGGGTCGCCAAGCCTGGCGCTTTTACTTGGATCATAGTAGTACGGCACGGTGCCGCCTAAAAGCTTTGTCAGGTGAAGCAAGCGTAGACCTAAATTGCCTACCTGCCTAGCTTTACTCCTGTCAGGTGAAGTTAGCAACAATATTAGGAGGACTTATTACTTCAGGTGCCTAAATAGGGGAAGTTCACTACAGTGAGATGCTGTTAGGTTTTAAGAGGCAAATCGGACACGTGCCAGTCTGATATCATGGATATCTATCACATGCATCATCTAGCGAACTTCAACCGAGCAATAACAAGGAGATACTCAAACCCCCAAGAAGCACGGAATTCCTATAACCATGACATATCCCACACCTAACAATGTAACCACGCCCAAAGCTAAGCCGAAACTGACCACGAGATACGAAAGCAGCATTGGCACTAGTTGGGTTGTAAAATAGCCTAACTATCAAAGGCAAAGCCATACGATCCGAGCATGAGTGTGCATCAAAGTAAAGAGCCATAGGATTTTAGGCTCGCATTTTTGAGCCAGAAAGAATGAGGAGGGTCATAGTAGCAGCAAGGAATAGCCCAATGCGGGATTACTCGGTCGATAGCATTTTTTGCGAGGTAACAGGGGGAACATCTGTTCAAATCCATCGTATTGCCACTGTTCCTGTCCGGAAAACGAGCTTACCGGCGGGAAGATGGTTGGCTAATGAATTTACTGATACGGTATAACATAACCAAGATTACCTAATTAATTTTAGATCGCCCATAAATAGCGCTTGCTGCCGATGATCGTCTCATGGAAGTACTCATGAACAAAATTACCTATGTGTAGACATCGAGATCTTGGGAGACTAGTTTTATTTCGGTAGAAAACCTACTGTGCGTGCCGCGTTGGCAGGCAGCTAGTCTCTGCGATCGCATAACATTGATTAGACACAGTAATAGTCGGAGGATTAGACTAGGCCACACGGTTGGTCTCAGGCACCTCACTAAACTTGATTTCATTGCTTGGTTTCTTGTTGATAAGTGTGGCAGGGTAGTTAATCGAAGGCTATTGATTGGGAAGAGCCAATAACTGCAGAAAGACTTAAACATAACACTGTCTCATGTAGTAACTGCAACATTATATTGGTGCCAACGTACCTAATAATATACCTAACGTAGTCGTTTCGGTATTTATTACGCGAAAAAGCATGTTGGAACTATACCCTACACTAAATCCAACTTCCCAAGTTGTTAGTTCTTTGTTTCCGGAAATACAGCATGTTAGATGCTCCTATATTTAAAATAAACTACCAACACCGAAGCCGTATCATTGCCGAACTGTGAAAAACAGGTTTAGCAGTTCGGCAAATTCGTAACTGCGTGGCCTTTATTCGTTAACATCAGTTTAGTTAAAGACTCGCGCCCATTTAAGACAGACATACAGATACCTGCAAACACACTTATACTCTTATGCCTACCTAGGTACCTAACTATATAAGGAATATGAGATGTATTATAGGCGCATTATATTGGAATTCGTTTAGGGGAATAACTCCAAGTGGCGAAAGGTTACATATGATGGACTAACTGGAAACAATTATTATAATTTAGGCGTCCCAGTATATGCGCGAGCCCCGTCATCCTAAAGGGTCTTCGTTGATAGTATCGATAGTTTTAAGTGCGATACTTATTTTCTGTGAGACTATGATCGAGAATGGGCTTGGCCTTGTTACTGAAAACAACCCAAACAATAGATAGCGACACATATACATATCAACAAGCCTTCTAGAATATAGATATTAATGCTTAGAAAGGTATAGCATTATATTCAAATATGTCCACTTTACGCCAAGGAAACTCGCATTTGGAGTTATATATACCTACATATGTATTGAATCCCTTACCTGCATGCACTTGTCTAGACTCTTTGAGGCTTGTATGCCCCACTATCAATAAGTTGTGTTCCGGAACACCACAAACAAGCTCATTATTAGCCCGTTAAGAATAATATGCTAGGTTAGTCAAGAATAAGCCAAACGAATACCCAATACGTCTTGTTGTCTGTGTTGGAACTCTGACCTCACTACGTCTTCTTCAGCTATGTTTTCTAGACATGGGTTTCGCTTGTATAACTCTAGGTCACATCAATCTATAGTTAATTCTAAAAAGCTCTCGTAGACCATCTCCTTAAAAAAATTGCAAACTGAATGGCGTGTCGATCTATCACCCCCGGATCGAAGCAACTGAAGTGATTCGAATGCGTATACTGTTAAGCCTACAACGGCTCATTCTCGCAGTAGAATTACCCTCCGTCGATTAGGCCCAAATGGGAAGAAGTTAGGGAGCGAGCTCCTTGAGTCCGGCCTAATTTCAAGCAGTCGAAACATTCCAACAATTGCTGCCCAACGCTCGCTTCATATTTCCCACGGCGAAACCCTGTCGCTCTCCTATGCCTTAATATCGCCTGTAACTCCAATCTAGAGTATCGGAAAGAGGCCCAGATCTGGGGGTTGGTGTAATATGTTGTAGAACCAGAGCAGCTTATACGCTGAAAAAGTCTTGATAGTTTCACCGCAGAATGTGACTATTAAGTGGCTTGACTAAGGCTGTGCCATGTCGCTCTGTATGCTGCTTGCCCTTGACTACCTGTCTATTATACAGCGTTGTCAGGAAGTCTGGCTATTTGCCATGTCATAGAGCTATAAAAGAGGCAAGCCATGGCGACGATATGGAAATTGATGAAGGCGATCCATTCACCACAGTGGAATCTATCAATGAAGTTATTAAGATCCACCAGTTAAGGCTCACGGAATTCTTATTTTTGGGGTCCTCTTTACCTCCCGCCCTTGGCAAACGCCACAATGCACGCTAATATCCCTCGGACATGGCAATGCATGTGAGCAGAAGTCGTATAAGCAGGGCGATGCCGCAGTGTAGACAATGCAGGCTGCCGC